GTTGTTTTTTTTTTTTGAGACAGAGTCTCGCTTTGTTGCCCAGGCTAGAGTGCGATGTCGTGCGTCAGCCTACCCCAGCAACCTCAAACTCCTGGCTCAAGCAATCCTCTGCCCCAGCCTCCCCGAGTAGCTGGGTATACAGGCATGCCCACATGCGGCAATTTTTTATATCCATATATGTTGGCCAATTAATTCTTTCTATTGTATCAGTAGAGACGGTCTCCGCTCTTGCTCAGGCTGGCTTTTCGAACTCTTGACCTGAGCAATCTGCCGCGCTCGGCCTCCCAGAGGCTAGGATTAACAGGCGTTCGAGCCACCGAGCCGCCCTCCCATCTGTTTTATATTTAAAAATGTGGGCTACTGAAAAATTAAAAATATACATTGGTTTGCTTAATATTCACTGGACAGTGCTGTTTAGTACAGCATCTAAAACATTCGTTTTATCTGGCGCCATTGTATTCCACCAATCGGATATACTACAATTATTTAAATCATTCTTTTCTAATAGCATTTAATTGCTTTCTAAATCTATTATTAGTCACTTCTTGGTTTAAGTCCTCGTGGGCCTCTTTTCCTGGGGGAAACTCATGGAGGAAAGTCAGTGGGACAAACTACCGCCTCCACCACTGTGACTGGTCTTGAGGCCACAACTGATCCTCATCATCTCCCTCTTCTGCTATCCAGTCTAGAGTCCCCTGACCTCAGCCAGCACCTCTTCTGGTCTCAGTGATTTACATGGAGGCATAATCTAGACACTCAGCCCTGAGGGGGCTGAGCCTGTAGGCACCATATCCTGCTCAGCTCATGGCCCCTGCACTTACCTATTTATTTTATAAATATTGGGCAGGAGAGTACCAAGAGGCTTCCATATGGATGAAGTGGGTACAAAGATCCACCTCCCTGCTCTCCACTGCTCAGCAGCAGCAGTAATGGTGAGAACGAGACCACACCGGCTTCCATCCCTGGTTTCTGCACCTATGTGTTCTACCTGTCGGAGACAAAGAACCACGTAATATCTTTGATTCAGAATGGGTGCTGCACTCTATCCTCTCAGGGTGTCATTTCTCACCTGGTGCCCCAGCTGTGCCTTCAACACATACCGTGTTTCCCCGAAAATAAGACAGGGTCTTATATTTATTTTTCCTCAAGAAGACACTGTAGGGCTTATTTTCAGGGCATGTGTTATTTTCTCCTCAAAGCCTCAGCCTGCAGCACACACAGGATGGCCGGGACCTGACAGGGAGAGCTGACCTTGTTAGTGGGGCTGCCCGCATATTTCCAGTCACCTCTGGGATAGTAGCTGTCACGATGGGGCAGATGAGAAGGGCTGCTCGTCTTCTTTACTGCTCCACGAGGAAATGCATGGGTTGTGCAGCTACGCTGAGTAGCCACGGCCATCACTAGGTCTTATTTTCAGGGTAGGGCTTATCTTGCGCAAATGCTCAGAAATCCTGCTAGGGCTTATTTTATGGGTAGGTCTTATTTTTGAGGAAACACAGTAGTTCTGTGCTGGCAGCTTAAGGATAGTGCAGTATGTGAAAGGAAAAGTGGCCCTGTGGCCATGTGCCCACTGCTGCACTTCCTTTGCTGCAATCATAAGGGATCCCATATGATTGCCCCATAATCTGTAGATCCCACAATCTATCCCAGTAGGTTAAACATTGTATAAATGCTTCAAGGGTTGTGCTGGGTGAAGCCCCACAAAAGCGAACCCATATTTCAGTGAAAATGAATCGTAGCTCTTTCCAGGGTGGAAAGAGTTTAATATAACCAACTTGCCAAGTGGCTGGTTGTTCTCCTCGAAGGATGCAGATGTATCTGAGACTGAGTTGGTCTCTTATGGACAGGTTCAACACTCAGCAGCAGCAATAGCTTGATCAGCCTTGGTGAGTGGGAGCCCATGCTGTAGGGCCCACATGTCCCCTCTTTCCATGCCTCATGCTTGCTCTGCTTACGCACCTATTGTGCCAGTTCTAGGGTGGCCTCAGAGACTGGCTGGTGTCAACTGTGTATATGTAGTTGTTCAGTGCTTCTTCCATGGTGTATGCTCTCTGGTGGGTGTTTACATGGAATACAATGATCTTCACACTTGGCGCCCACTGCCATAGGTCCATCTACATGCTTCTACCCCAGGTCTCCTTGTCCCTGATTTTCCAGCCTTATTCCTTCCAGACCCCTTAGCGACTAGCCAAGCCCTTTACCACTGCCCATGAGATCCATGTATAGTCTAACCTCAGGCCCCTTCTCTTTTCACAGAAAGTGGATGGCTAGGTACGCTATCCAAAGCTCTGCCATGGAAAGAATGTCCCCCCTTCTGTCTTTCAAGGACGCCTGTTTGTGTGGCTACAGTGCAGCCACAGTCTTTCTGTCTTGCTCACACATACTGAGCCAGCCCATCCATGAGGAAAGCTTGGCTTTTTTTCTCCTCCATCAGCTGGATATAAGGAGCTCCTCAGGCAGCAGCCACAGGCGTGGGCTGAAGGTGAGGAACTGGTGCAAAGGTAGTGGATGACACAGATTTCTGGGCCACCTGCTCACTCAGCTCCTTGCTGGCCTTGCCTGACCTTATCACTTGGTGGATCTGGTAGAATCCAGCTCATGATGGGCACATGAGCTGGCCACATGGCCAACTTGATGATCCCTGGTCAGGAGCTGTGTTTTGAAAAGTATATAATTGTGGTTTTTTGGTTTTTTTGTTTTTTTTTTGAGACAGAGTCTTGCTCTGTTGCCCAGGATAGAGTGCCATGGTGTCAGCCTAGCTCACAGCAATCTTGAACTCCTGGGCTCAAGCGATCCTCCTTCCTCGGCCTCCCTTAGTAGCTGGGACTCCAAGCACGTGCCACCACACTGGCTAATTATTTCTATTTTCAGTTGCCCGGCTAATGTTTTCTATTTTTAGTAGAGATGAGGTCTTACTCTTGCTCAGGCTGGTCTTGAACTCCTGAGCTCAAGCGATCCTCCTGTCTCAGCCACCCAGAGTGCTAGGATTACAGGCATGAGCCACTGCACTTGGGTGAAAAGCATATAATTCTTGGCTATGGATGGCATGGCCCTGCTCTAGACCCTAGGGGTCTACATTGTGGTTCTCCAATTGGGCCTTGCCATAAACTCCACAGGCATCTTTTCGTACCACTGATACTTCAAATATCATGGGTTCTGCCAGAGCATCTGGCCCATGCAGCATGGTCACTTGTACTATAGTGTGGACCTGCTACTGAGCCCTTTCCTGCTCTGGGTCCCAACTGGAACTAGCAGCTTTCTGTGTCATCCGGCATATGGATGGAACAGCATTCCCAGGTGTGGAATATGCTGCCTCCAAAACCCAAAGAGGCCCACCAGGCATTGTGCTTCCCTCTTAATGGTAGGGGTGGCAGATGCAATAATTTGTTTTTTATTTTGGACAGAATATCCCTGCATATCCCAGACGACCAGACCCTAAAATTTCATTGATGTCAGGCCCCTGAATCTTCACAGGGTTTACTCCTCTCTCGGCAATACATATGTCTCACTAAGGGTTCCAATATACTTGACGTTTCTTACTCATCTGGCTCAATTAGCTGATGTTATCAATATATTGGATCAGTGTGATGGTCTTCAAGATGTGTAGCAGTACAGGTCTTTTCAGATAGGTTGTGAGAGGGCAAGAGAGTACCGTAAATGTATACTCTTATCCATTTCAAGTGAATATGAACTTTCTGATCTTCCTTTCTGACAAGGAAGGAAATGAAAACATTCATCAGATCAGTGGCTACATACCATGTACCTGAGAACATGTTGATGTGTTCTAGGAAAGATGTCACATCTGGCACAGCAGCTGCAATGAGAACAACACTTGGTGGATTTTGCGGGGCCAGACCAGTGAGTTAAATAGAGAGATATGGGCATCACCACCCCCCTGCATCCTTTAGGTCGCTAAGGATGGAATTCATCTTTGCCATTCTCTGATTACTGGTGAAGCTGAGCATCTTTGAATATGGTTATTAGCTTTTCCTTTCCTTTCTCCTTTCCTTTCTCCTTTCCTTTCTCCTTTCCTTTCTCCTTTCCTTTCTCCTTTCCTTTCCTTTCCTTTCCTTTCTTTTCAAAGACAGAGTCTTGATCTGTCATCCAGGCTGCTGGAGTACAGTGGCCTAATCATGGCTCACTGTAACCTCGAACCCCTAGCCTAAAGTGATACTTCCTTCTTGGCCTCCCAAAGCACTGGGATTATAAGCATGAGCCACCACACCCAGCCCCTTTTACTTCTTTTCTCTGAATTTCCATAAGTCATAATTGTTTGCCTTTTTAAAAAAATGGTCTGTTTATTGTCCGTCTCCTTCACTAGACTGTGAGCTTCTTGAGGCCAGAGAGTAAGCCTTATCTATCACTGTGATCCTTGTACCTGGCACGAATGAATGATTTTAACAAGATGAAAACACAGCATTTGATTGGATATCTCAGTCTTCTTGAAACCAACCTCCCCAGCTTATGAGTAAGTCTACCCCTGACAGCAATTGTGTCATTTTGGTTGATTTAAAAGAAAACAGAATGTCATCCAATCAAATGGTCTCTCCTTTGGAACCAAGGCAGTGTCACCAAACTAATTGAAGCCCCCAAAGCCTTGTTTTCTGGATGGACTCCCTTCGATAGCAATAATGGGCAGTAACAAAGTGAGCCCTCGCCCCATCTGGCTGTGATAAACACATCCAAAACACATTACAAATCTCAGAGTGAGGCTCTGAGGCCTGAGGCTGCAGCAAAAGAAAACCAAGGTTGACAGGCACAAGTTTAAGAACCTGATATTCTATAAATGAAAAAAGGCCAGCTGCCTGTTCCTTCACACTGAAAACAGTAAATGCATTATCTGGGCCTCCTGCCATTTTTCAAACCTGGGACTCTCTAATGATATCTGTTTGGGCAACTCTAAACTTCATTTGTCAAAAAAAAAAAAAAAATCTCTAATTTACTGAATCTCAAGCTTTTCTTTCCTTTGCCTTAAGTTGTTGGGTTTCTTTTGAATGTTTAAAATTTTCTTAAAATATCTGCTATTGTAGGGACATTTTTATCTTTCTAAAATACACATCTTATTAGGTCTCTCACCTCCTCAAAAACTTCTCATGGTCTCCCATGATCTGAACTCTGAAGTCTAAATCCTTGATAAGGGCTCTAGTTACTTTTTTTGCCTCATTTCTTGCCACTATTCCTCATACTTTGACCACCTCATATTATTTGCCTTTCCGGAAAGAAGCCATGCACTTAACACTTCCATGCTTTGGCATACAGACTGAGTCCTCTGCTAAGAGCTCCTACCTATCCTTCTGGTTTTGTACAAACGTGAGCTCCTCTGTGAAGACTTCCCTCCTCTCTGAGTGGCATAAATCATTCCTGTAAGGATTTTTGGCAGGGGGCGGGAAGAAAAGACAGACAGAGACAGACAGAGAGAGAGAAAGAGTGGGGGCCAAATCACATGGCTTTATTATACACTCCTGGACAAGGTTCTGGGGCCCCAAGAGAGGGGGGTCCCAGAAGTCGCCTCCGTTTGAAGGGGCTGAGGCCTTTAATACCGTTTGGGCGGGGCTAGGGACTTTTGGCGGGAAGAGCTGAGGATTTTCCATTGTGACCTTGGGTGGTCATTGAGAAATAGGAAGGGCTGGCGGTATTTGCGGAACCCAGGAGCCAAAACGTTCTTATCCGGGTGGATATCTGGGTGTGCTTCCTCTCAGCAGGGCCTGGCAGTTTCGTCCTTGGCAGGTCTGGTCTCATGAGCCTTTTCTTTTTTGATCTAAGGAGAGGAGGGGGCCGGCCACCAGCCTTATAATTCCTTTCCCATTTTCTCAATATTTTAAATAAATGTCTATAGTAAACACATAATATGCTATACTATAATTACTTATGTATCTGTCTCCCCATCAGACTAAGAGGTCCTCAAAGGAGGACATTATATCTCCTTTATTGCTGTTTCCTGAGAGCCAGTCTAGTCCTTGGCAACAGAAGACAGGCAACATTTAAATCAATGAGTGAAAATAAAGGGACTCACTTAGCCCCTACGCAAAGGACCAGAACCTCCAATTCAGCCACTACAAGAATTGATAGGTTGCTGAAGCAGACTCTAGTGGTATTCACGTGCCCAAATTTCCTCTAGCAACTGAACATGCTTATAAAACATATTTACACCTTGACTTATAGGTGACTCAGAGGTCCCAGGAACTTCTATCACCCCATTTCAGGAGCAACCCTTTCATTTTCAACAGGCTGAAGCTCAGAGGTACTTCTTAGTGGCTGGGCAAACTTGGATAGATGTCTGCAAGCCTCTTTCCCTTCAGCAAATGCTCAGAATAGCTCCATTAGCGTTCATGGAAACTCTGCACATGCACCAAGGAGAAAACAGCCACAAATAACACAGCCTGCTTTCCAATCTACAAAGCACATCTCTGCAATTATTTTACTTTCCAACTACCACCACTGAAGCCTTTCAGCCAGAGAGCAATTTGTTTTCAACTTATTCCAGGTCCCTAAGTTAGCAGAACTCTGGTTGTTTATACATGAGGCTTCCTACTTCCAGTCTCTCTCGCTGGCCCAGTGTCTCTTCCACACAGCCTGTCAGCACAGCACTGACCAGTTTCTGCTCGGAATCAGTTCAAACACCTTCACCTCACGCTTAAGACCCTTCAAACTTTGTTCTGGTTCTGGTCCTTGCCTTTCTCTCCTGCCTCATCTCCAGCTACTCTCCTGCACATGTCCTCCGATCCAGTCATCTAATCACCTCCACATATCACCACTTCTGGGTTTTTCCATACTCTGCTTTCTCTGCCAGATACGCACCTCAACCACCCAATTAACTACTTCTGCCTTTTAAGACTGCATATAGACAACACTCACACCAGGAAGCATTCCCTGATTGAATTAGATGCCTCTGCTATATACCCACAAGCAGCCATTCAACTACTAAATAAATAGTTATGGAGACCTAGTTTGTAAGTGCTGGAGATATAGCAAGGAACAGAACAAAACTCCACTTTTATGAAGCTTAAATCCTTGAAGAGGGAGGAGAAAGACTAATAAATAACTGTGTCAAGTGGTAATAAATATTCTGAAGAAAAATAAAGCAGGGAAGTGTATTAAAGAATAGTCGGGAAGAAGTGCTATTTTATTTAGGGTAGTCAGCAAAGGCCTTTCTGATAAGGGAAAGAGAGATCTGAATCAAGCGAGGACAGGACCGTGCAGATATATGGGATAGCGCACTACAATCAGAATGGTAGATGCAAAGGTTCTGAGGCAGGAGCACGCTTAGCACGTCTGTGCAAAACAGCAAGGAGCCAGCGGGACCAGAGAGGTGTGAGAAAGGGAGAATGTTAGGAAATGAGGTTAAAGAGGCAGCCAGCGGCCAGGTACTGGTCCTTGTAGGGGGGCATGGTAAGGGATTGGGATTTTACACCAAGTGAGATGGAAGCCACTGGAAGGTTTTTTAATAGAGACAAGATATGATTTGCCTTACATTTTAAAAAGTTCATTCGGGCTACTCTGTGGAGAATAGACTAAGGGGAAACAAGCAAGAGACAGACATCTGGACATCCATTAATTTCACAAATATTAATTGGTTCCTAGGATGGACAAGAATGCATTGGGTATATTCTAGGCACTGAAGATACCCAATGACTGAGACAGGATCTCTGACTTCAGGGAGACTAGACTCGAGCAGGGAGACAGAATCATAAGCACAACCACAGAACACACAGACGTGCCAGAGCAGTATGCAGGGTATTAAGGTAGGGGATGGAAAAGGAATTAGATAGAGAGCAGCATTCCAGAAAGGGAAAAAACAGCACATGCAAATACTCAGATGCTTCAAGAAACCTGCTGTGGCAAAGAACTACAAGCAACCTCATGAAGACGGAGGATCAAGTCCAGGGCAGGGATTAGAAGGAGGTGAGGAGGGAGAGGAAGGCAGGTGCCAAATCACAGACAGCCTTGCAAACCAACATGTATGTGTATCTTATCCTACAGGTGATTGGGACCTACTGATGGATTTTATGGCGAAGTAATGGTGGGATTTCCAGTTTTTATATGTTGCTTTGTTTATAGCATAGAGAGGTGGATTCAAAGAGGGTAAGACAGGAGGCAGAGGGATCAGTTAGGAGGCCATGTAGGCATCTGAGCAAGAGAGGAAAAAGTCCTCAAGTTGTGCTAGAGATGGAGAAGAGGCAGGATATTCTAAATATACTTGGGGAGTAAAACCATCAGGATTTGGTTGGCTGAGGGTGGGACAGGTGGGGTCTAGGCTGACCCCTGGGTTCCTAGCTGGAGCACCTGGGTTGCCAGTATTGCCAACTGAGAGAAGACATGTTACATGTGAGATGTCCATGGGACGTCTAGGAGACAGTGTCTGAAACCCAGGGGGCAGGTTTGGGCTGAAGATACAAACTGGAATGTCATCAGCACATTAAGTGATACTTGAAAACATGATAACAGATGAAACCAATCAAGGAGACAGTACACAGTCAAGCAGACCTGGGTTTTGCATCCTAGATCTATCATTCACTATCTGTGTGACCCTGAGTGAGTTACCTTTCTGAGCCCCACTTTCCTCATCTTAAATTGGGTATTTTCCTTTTGTAAAAAGTTTACCACAGTGCTGGGCACGGGCTAAGTGCTTAATTATTATTATAGCTCCAATAGCTACTCACAGTGGGAAACTTAACAAGGTACTTCTGCTCTGTGAGCCTCAGGGTTTTTTCTGTAGCTACTGCTCAGCATCCACCGTACTCCATGGAACTCAGCAAATGGGTGCTGAATAAATGAATAGATCTAAAAAACTAAAACAACAATACTTACTTAATAGGTGAGAGAATTAAACAGGATGTTTACAGAACTATATAAAGATCCATGAAAATGTCATTAATAATAAACTATTTTAGTAAAAGCACCCAGCACTTAGAAGGTAGACATAACATTAGTCCCTTCCCTTCTGCCCTTGCTTTTCAGCCCATCCCTCCTTTTTTGGATTTGAAATCTCTCCCTTTCTATTAGCTCCTTCCTTTCAGATTACAAACATGTTCCAGTCTCCCCTCATCTAAAAAACCTTCCTTGATTCTTGCCACCTCCCTCAAATTCTTATTCCATCATTCTTTCATTTCACCAACTGTACCCTTTCTCAACCCCAGAACACCTTGCAATGAACAAATCCCACCTTTTGTTTTAGGAAAAAAGTCCCAGTTTATTATTACTTTAAAAAAGCAAATATCATTTACATAATTGTTCAAGCAGGCCTGTATAGAGATATTTCATTTTAAAATATATGTATGTATTTTTTTCTACTGTTGTAATTCATTGCAAGAGAAATTTCATTATGTATCTTCTGCAGAGCCCTAAACTGAGAGAGCCAACATATTCAAATAAACCCCAAGGTGTGGGAGGCTTCGGGCCAGTTCCTCATTAGAAGCCTCAGCATGGGGGCTCTGGAGACCATGCAGAAGGTCTTCCAGGGAAAGCTGAAATGTTCAGATAAGTGAGCTCTGGGAAGAAGGGGTAGTCGGCTGGCTCTGGCAGGCTCACCCCTGGGGTAGAGCAAAGAGAACAGACAGGGGAGTTCTGAGAGGCACCAGAGCTATCTAAACTCAGGGGGATGGAACCGAGTGAGCAGCAGCAGTAATTGAGTTTCAGTTACCTGCGGGGTGGTGAAATAAAGTAGCGACTTCATCTGCCTGACATGGGGGAAGTTTAGAGGTGTCCTTGGCATACTCACAGTGAAATCCGTCACCCTTTCACGGCGTTGGGTGATGGCAACCGTATGGTGCTTCCTAGTGACAGCCAGTGTGCGTCCTGTTAGGCAGCACCAGCGCTATAGCTAATGAAGCACGTTCCTGCAGGCTCGTCTCCCAGGGCTCTCTGCATCCTGTCTGCAAAGGAACGGCACCAGGGGAAAATCTAGCACAGCCGGCATCAGCCATCACCCAAACTCAAAAGCGTCTTTGAATGGTGGAGAGGCCCATTTTCTTCTCTGCCCGTCCCAGGGTTAGAATCGTCCTCAGGTCACTTTTTGTAGGTTTGTACAAACGTGCCGACTGGCAACGAGCCGTTCTTCACCTGAGCCCGGATTTCAGCTCGGTGCTTTAATGTGAAGACCAGGGCTCTCACCGTCCGCCGGTACGGCCCATTAATGAGGCGGGAGCAGAGATGAAACGTTTCCCGCTCAATATTTTCAACCAGTAGGTGATCCATCTAAAAAACAGCAAAATTATCAAATTAGGGCCTTGCATTGCATAAGGATTAAAAGCAAGAGAGGCTGCAGCACTCTGCTCAGAGGCCTCCATTAATCAACTGAAATTCAAGGACATCTACTTCCTGTCACAAGAGAAACAGGAAGAGCAAATTAATTCCACCCTGGCAATTAAGGAACAAGGCCATGTGCTTTGTGACAGGGACCTCATTCACAACCCCTGCCGGGTGGTAATATCTGCCATTATAACAGGAAACTGGCCTGAACTAAGCAATGGGTATTGGGCCCTGTACTTTACCAACCAGGAAACGAAGAGCAAGGATAATAAATCAGTAGAACTGTTCATTTTTTTGTTTGTTTTTAAAGTTCCTTTTAACAAAACCCTTAGAGCATTATATAAACCCTGGGTCTGTATCCTAATATGTGGACAGAGCAGTTTATAAATCACTTTTCACATTTAATGCTCATAACTCCTATTATCACATTGTACAGCTAAGGAAACAGGTTCAAAGGCTCAAGGTCTTACAACTACTAAAAGACAGAGCTGGGACTCTGACCCGGACTCCTCTGCTCCAAAGTTCATATGTCTTCCTAAAATTTTACCTTTCTGATTGCCCCCTCAACATTCCGAGAGACCCTGCAGGTTCAGTTAAGCAGAGCAGGCCTAGGCGACGGGACCTGCAGCAATTCTGCGGTGGGTCTGGCTCAGACCCAAGCCATCTTGAGATCACACACTTCATCAAAGTAGGACAGGTCTGGGACTTTGTCCTCACGGTCTGGATACGGATGGGCTGCTGGTCAGGCATCCCCAGCCCTACCTTCCTTTCCCGGCCCATCTCCCACTATTCCAAACCCAATCCTGACTACAGCCCGCCTGAGCATTCTCAGCTGTTGCACGCACCTCTATGTCTCCGCACTTGTGCGTGTTCCCTTAGTAAGGCACACCTGGTCCTAGAAAACACACTTCTAAGTCAAAGCTTACGGGAAAAAAAAACAACAAAAAACAAAAAACAAACCAAACAACCAAAACGAAGAAGTCTTAGTGCAAAGGGCTGAAAGTTCTCCATGCTGCCACCATGTCCTGAGCTTCCCTTAGTCATTATCATAATATAGTATAATGATCTATATTTTGAGCTTGTCTCCCCTATAGTAAGTTCCTTGAAAACAGGAAACAAATTTCTCTCTCACGTCCTTTTTTTCCTTTGTTCCCCCCATACCTCAGCTACTCATTCAAATATTTATTCAGCACTTACTACGTGTCAGGCTCTGTGCTTGGGCTGAGGAACACGGCGGGCTCAGCCCGAGTCTGTGGGGAGCATGGTACAGCAGGAGACACAGGCGGTGGGCAGGGATTGCAAGGGCCCCAGCAGCAGCAGAGGGGAGGGGAGTGGGGGTAGGGGAGAGGACAGTCCTGGGGAAGCCCCCCGACCCACCAGCGCAGTGCCTGGCTTCAGGAGGAAAGTGTTTAACCTGAGACCTGGAGAAGGAGCAGCATTTGGCCAGGTGAAGGGGGCATTTGCTTTCTGCTAAATTCACTGAGCTATATGTATACATTGTGTCCACTGTTCTGTATATATTCTACACTTCTGTGTAAAGTGCAAGTTCAACAAAAAGAGAAAACATACCCAAAATAAAAAAGGATCACCTGACATTTGATTAAATGTGCTCAGAGACAGACCAAAATAAATAGAAAAAAGAAACTTGGACAATATAAGGAATAGCATGGGCAGTGGAGCAAGAGAGAAGGGGAGGGGGAGAGAGAGATCAACAGAGAGAGAGAGAATGAAGATTCAGGCTGAGACATCCACCTAGGTCTAGCAGACAAAAGGCACTCACGAAAGTTTGTGTTTCCAATGACTGAAAGAGAGTCTCCGAGGCTTGTGCTGGACTGAGTGGACCTGGCACATGGTTCTCTAGACCCTTGACTTCTCAAAGTTTTCAGGGCTTCCTGGGTGGGCACTGATCTAGCCCCTGGCCTGAAGCAACCTTGGCACTTGACTACTTCAGGAGGCTAGAAAGGAGGCTGGCTGGCCAGCATTTGCCAGAAAGGTTCCTGGCCTCAGTGTGAAGCCGGTTAGTCCAACTATTCAGACATTGACTTAGCAAGTCTTTTTTTTTTTTTTTGGAGGGAGTGGTTATCAAGGAAAGAAGGTGTGTGTGCGTGTGTGTGTCTGTGTCTGTAAAACAAATCATGGCCATTCCATCAAACTGTAGTACTTGTATTTAAAAAAAGAAAAAAAGAAGACTGAGAATGCTTTGGAATTCACATACTTCATTCAGCAAATATAATAGTTAACTGAGTTTCTAGTCTGAGTCTGGCCTGATCTTAGAGAGGCAGAACAGAAAAGCCACAACCTCAGTCTTCCAGAAACGCACAGCTTAAAAAGGAGCTGCCATGTACACCGGTAGCTAAGAGGCAGCAGCCAACAGGTGCTGTGCCAGTGGTTTGATGGGAACAGAAAGCGAATGCCTAACAATTTTATGCATGCCTCTTGTTAAACGAAGACCATCAGGATGAAAAAATGAAGAAAAATATCTGTGACATTAAAATATAATTCATAAGGGAAAATGATTCATCACGCACCATGGTGTGTAACAAGTTCATTGCACGAAGTGAAGAATGCCGATCTTGTAACTGCCCTTGGGTGATCCAAGTCCACCCAAGGTGACGAGTCCTTTCCAGTGGGTCCTAACCTGGTGCTTCAGATAAGCCCTTTTGGGGGAAAGGACGAGAGTCTCACTGAGATGCTGAGAACGGATTTGCTGTGTGATAATCTGCATGAATGGGAATGGGAACAGGAACACTGGAAGAAACCTAGGGATTTATTTAGGGACTGGATCCTTTCTCTGTATGACCTGCCTGGTCACTTTCTTACATGATTTTGTTCTTCTCCAGAGGCCTTACTCACTACCAACTGCAACTGCCTTATCCTCTCCCCCTATTCTACACATCTTTTCTCCACTCACAACACTGCTTCCTCCCGATTCCTCCAGCATCCCTTCTGTTTCAACATCTGCACTATTGTTTACTTGGTATTTCCTGGTTCACATTTCCAGAGACAGAATCTGATTTGTCTTCTTTATTTGTGCCTGTGGGGTGGGTGTGTGTTATTCAGATGTCCCATCTTGGACAAATTGGCTATAGCTGGGGGAAGATATAAAGCATGACCTAGAGCTGTTCTTCAACAGTGAAAAATGGTGCCATAATCAATTAGTGATGTCTGCCCTATCTGGAAGCTCTAGCTCTTTCAAAGCAAGGGAACGAGGTCATCTTCATACTTTTATCTTAAATATAGAACTTCCCACATTGTATTTTAACTATTTGTCTATCTTCCTCAGAAGATTGTAAGCACTTCTAGAGTTGATATTGTATCCATTTCTAAATTCCCCATGCCCAGCATAGGTGGTGGTATGTAGTTAAGTGTTCAATAAATATTCATTAAATGAATGTCTTTCCTCCCCATATGTACCTCCCTCTTTTTCCGCTCTTCCAATAACCTCATATACATAGCAGATAAAACATGAAATATGTTCCTATTTTATGAGTATTTTCTAGTTGGCAAAATATCACATAAGCAAGTTCAATTGCCATCTCTTCTATGAAATGTTCCCAGATTCCCCCATCAGATTTAACTGCTCCATACTTTGTGTGTCTAAACTTTCTAGTGCCATTATTTCGGACTATCTCATATTTCAGTTAATCATTTACAGGCTAATGATTAACATATTTGTTGAATTGAATAGCCACTGGAAGCGAAGTTTCTGTGGGTTTTCCAATAGCATGATTGGATTTGTACATAGCTACCTACACTTCTCTTTGACCACTTGAATACATTTATGAGAGAGCTGGTCAAAGCCAGGGGTGCAGTCTGAGGCCATTAAACAAAGAAAAAACTAACAGTCCCATATGGGGACGCACCCCTGACCTGGATCTCATTAGCACCATCTGACAACCAACTGAGCCAACCAGCCAGTGTTTCATAACTCTTAATGATACAGGCTCACTTTGAGAATCAGGTTCATTTTTTTTAATGACATAATAGGAAAATGATCACAGGCCATGAGGTAGGAAAGGAGAGTGGATAATGAGGAAGGGGAAGTAAGAGAATGACACTGCAGGGGATGCTCATATGAGGAAAGATCTAAAAGACGGGGAAGAACAAAGAAGATCCGGAAGGGAGAAAGTAAAGGGGAATGGAACCTGGGTTTCAACTATGGAGTTTTTATTCATCTATTCCATTATTCCAAGAACAAGGAAATAATCCATGAATCTAGAAAGCAAGATCTGTAGGGTAATAAAGACATGCACCTTTTGGCTATGTGTGTATTCTTCATCTGTGGCTTTAGTTATTAAAGGATATGACTGAAACAACATGGAAACATTTTTCCTACAAAAATGTAATAAATAAGTAGATGTGGTATTTGTAAAATCACAAGCTAGGATCAAATCATAAGGGCTTTTTAGTCATAGGGCCAATAACTTACCCAATGGTTCACTATTGCCCGATTAAGTATATTTATGGAGATATGATGTCTGATTAGAATGTACTCAACATTGGTTACTGTCAAAGACCAGATACTGGATTAAATGGCTCACTGATTTACCCTAATATGGAAATGTCTCAGATGATGATAGGTGCTAAGAATTAACATTATGTAAAAGTGTTTGTATTTATATTCTCTGACATACTAAATGGATAAAAATACTATCAAATGCTGTCTATGTAAGGAAAACAGATTGATTTTTTTTTTTTTTTTTGCTAAGGAAGACAGTAAGATGCATATTTTTAATTTTTTAAATTTACTCTTTGGGAACAGAACCATTCAGCTATGCTTAATCTGATATTTTTTTCCAATTACGGTGGAAAGCACTAACAAATGTATCACTTTTTTAACTTTGCTTTGTAACACTTGAGTGCTCATCACTTGATGTGCCATTTAAAGGATAATTAATGGATAAACTAAAAGGATAATTATTATGGAGTTTTAATACAGTAGGCAAACTGCTCATTAATCCTTACAATCATAGCTTCGTTATTATCATTTACTTAAAATGATACCAAAGGGAACTGGTATTTACCACCACATTAACTACATATTATATACCCATACTGTCCATTGCTGCAATCATTTTGGTTTATTTCAAAAATAAACTTTATTTAAAATAGCAAGTCTTGTTGGCTAATCGATACTCTGGAAAATTAGACTTAAAACCTTCATATTTTTTTCTCTCTTCCAAGTGTTTAATGATCATATTAAAACTTCCTTTAGGAAAGTTAAGAAAACTTATGGCATATCAATTCACTGAACTAGCAAATAGATATTAAAAAATTATAAATATGAAAAAATAAAGATACATAGAAAAGGATATGAAAAATGACACTGAAATTAATCAAGATTAAAGAGACAACACAAATGTAAATAATTACATCAATTTTCTGCAATGTTATTTAAATAATCAATAAAAATACCTTATGGCATAATAGCACATAATTTGCTCTTAATAAATCTTCGATAAACATAACTTACCCGGCATTCATTTAAGAAGCCATAATAATTTACAAAAAAAGAAATACATCAAAACATTAATAAGATTATGTTTGGGTGTCAGGTTTGATGGTGATTTTTTTTCCCTTTCTATATTTTTCTCATTTTCTATTATAAGTTCATATTTAAAAAACCCCAAAACTTTCTCTTAAAAAAGTAAATAATATACTATAAGTCTATTTCTCTTTGTTTGGTGGATAAACAATTGAGGTAGAAAGGTTAAAATATTTTTTTTAGAGAATGTAGTAACAGATCTAGCATTTAAAGCAGACTTCTGAATTGCTTCTTATGTTAATAATATTAATTTTTTGGCCAGGTACAGTCATTCACGCCTATAATCCCAACACTTTGGGAGGTCCAGGCAGGAGGATCACTTTAGGCCAAAAGTTCAAGACCAGCCTGGGCAATATGGCAAGACTCATCTGTACAAAATAAGAAAAAAAAAATACTAGCTGGGTGTGGTGGTCCATGCCTATAGTCCCAGCTACTCAGGAGGCTAACGCAGGAGGATTAAATTGAGCCCAGGAGTTGGAGGCTGCAGTGAGCTATGAATGCACCACCACATTCTAGCCTGGGTGACAGAGGGAGACCCTGGGGAGAGGAAAAATCATCGGTATTACATGTCTGATCATCAAGAGTATTAATTATAAAATTATAAAATTTATTGTTTGATGACGATTAATACAATTGTTAATGAGCAAAAATCCTTCTTCCAACATATATATCTCAAACCATTAATATCATCTGAACTGCTGGGTATTAAAATAAAGAATATGTCTATCCAACTGATTTCATGCCTTAGAACTAAAGGTATGGGTGCTGACAAAAAATAGGGAAGTTGGGTCTTTTTAACAGATGGCTATGTATTTTGCCATTGATATTCCCTAACACAGTAGACCTGGAATTTTTACTTTGTGGGAAAGGAAAGAATTTTAAATGGGAAGGAACCAACATTTATTAAAATAGCTTCTAATCAGCTGGCACTATATGCTTACTATTCCTCTGTATAAATGGTTCATTTAACCTTTCCAATACTTTAGGTGGTAGGAATTATAATCTTCATTTTACAGATAAGGAAACCAAGTCTGAGAAATGTTAAGGGATTTGCCTTAGGTGTCACTAGAATGTATTACAGCCAAGGTTTCAACCCAGGTCTTGCTAGTTCTAAAGCCTGCATTCCTAAAACACTGTCTCCCAGAATGCTTATACATTCAGAATCTTTAAAGAATAATCAGTTAGAATAAAGCCACAACACAAAAACTATGAAATTTCACTATGAAAACATGAGGCTCACTTAACCAAGAGCACCCAGCAATCCCATTCCAACCAGGACATTACCTCTAATTCCAAGGCTTCTGAGAGTAATTTCTGAGCATTTTTCCTAAATGACTCCGTCTTGGGATCACTTTGGACTTCAATAGAAGGTCTATCCAAATGTTTTTCAATGAAAGTTTTCCATTCAGTATAAACTTCTCCGGCAAGACAAGCCACTTCTGCATCTGAGTGTTTACGCATCTTGTTCACAGTGTGACCTGGAACAGGAGAAGAAGATAAACCAAAGGAATGGTTGTTTCTGTCTTCTTCTGAAAAGCACAGGACCGAAAAGGTCACTCACACACCCAAAGATGTAAGGGCTCTTGTGCAAAAGAGAACTATTTCACAAAGGCTGAGATAATAAGATAATCACTGGGGGAGAACCACGAGACTAGCCAGTATAGTAGTCATACACTAGAAGCATGATTAATAGATTCTTAAAAACAACAAATGAAGGTACCAATTCCTTAATCCAAAAATTATAATAATGGGAAAAAAATTAATTATTTATCTTATTTTTTTGTACCAACGGTATTTTTAAGACAAAATAGCCCTAGTTATTAAAGGAATGTTCTTTATTTAGCTAATAAATGTGAAAAGATTGACAGTATTAGAAAAACTTTTTGTAGCCCATGATGAAATAATTCATTCAGAAGACAACCATCAGTGAATGAACTCATTTGATGAAAGGTTGATGGGGAAATTTATAACTGAGGGATGAGCTGTCATCACCTAAACCCACTGATCAATGTTAATCCCTAAGCGTGGGGCAATGAGACAGAGGAAGCACTTCACAGCCCTACCTATGAAGTAGTCTTACACTCTCCCCTAAAAGAAAAAATGAAACATAATTCAATTTGTCATTCAAAGGCAACTTCCAGTTTATAGGAAATATGGGAGAAAGATGAAATTAGTTAAATTACAGTGTGAAAAAACAGGCAAATTCAGAATGTGGACATTATACAGGACAACAGATTTGTTTTCTTCAACAATGACATTTTTTTAAAAGGGGGGTAGGGTTAGGGATTGCTATAGACTAAAAGAGTTTTTTGAGTCCAAATTACCAAATGTGACATGTGACTGTGTGATCCAAATCCCGATTGGAACAAACCAACTGTTAAAAGATATTTTGAGATAAACAAGGAATATGAATATGTACTAGATACTAAATTATACCATGGAATTATTGTAAATTTTGTTAAGCATGATAACAATGGCATTGTGGTTACATAAGAAAATACCCATGTTTTTTAGAGATGCATACTGAAGTATGTAGAACTGAAATGACAAAAGGTCTGAGATTTTACTTTAAAATACTTCAGCAACACAAAAGCAAAAAAGAGAAAGATGAAGTGGGGCAAAAATTTCAACAGTTACTGAATCTGGGTGAAGGGCACATGGAGTTTGTTATAATATTCTCTTCATTTTGGGGTATGTTGGAAATTTTCATAATACAAATGAAAAGGCAAAGGGTCAAAAATATCAATATGCAAAAGAAGATAAAAATAAATACCTAGAAAAACCGAAGAAATCAACTGAACATTTAGAATTAAAAGTTAAAAAAAATGGAAGAATACAAGATAGGTATATTTTTAAAAATCAACAGCTTTCTTAGGTCAGCAATAATCAGTAAAAATACAACAGGAAAAAAAAATCCTGCTTAAACTAGTGAAAACCATAAAGCACTGGGAATACACTAACAAGAGTGGGTGTGTGAGCAGACACGTATGTTATCTGTGTACATGCCGCCTCCTTAATAACTCTGAAACTCCTATTTCTCTGTCCCTTGCTGCCACTTCCAGATGACTACAGAGGCCGCCTGACTGGCTTTTCTGGCTAAGTTTGGTACCCCTCAATGCTGCCTTCCATACTGCAGCAAGAGTGGCTTTTATTTAATTTTAGTGTTTTCTCTTTTCAGGACTTTTTCCTAAAACATAAATTTGATCGTTTCACTCCTCCACTTAAATGCTTCAATTCTATATCCAAACTCTTACCTTTTCACACAAGTCCCTTCACAATCTGCCACACTCCCACCTACTTTCTAGCTTCATTTCCAGCTACTATTCCATTGTCATGCAATAGCCCAGCTACTTGCTGCTCCTAGAACACTGAATATTTTTTTCTCATCTCTTTACTTTTAAACATACACCCCAATGAACATTCTGTCTACTTCGAATACTCCTTCTTCTCTCTTCATCTGGCTAATTTCCATTTGGCTTTTAAGACTCATTCAGGGGTCCTTTCCTATAGGAAGTCTTCCTTAATACGCCCAGCCTTGGTTGGTACCCCTGCTCTATGCTTTCTTAGCATCATAGTAACAATAGTTACCATGGTTAGTTGTAATTATCTGATCCATTCTCGCTTTTGCTTACCAAAGTGAGCTTCTTGAATGAAAGAGCTATAACATGTTCACCTCTGTTATCTCTAGCAGTGAGCACAATGACAGGAGATGGAAATCAGGAGAGTAGGTTGGTTGAATGAGAGACCCATATGAAGAATAACATATATTTTTACTAAAGTACATAACTGAAGATTTGAATAAAGGGAAAATATACCATATTATGAAATGGAAAGATTAGGACAAAGATGACAATATAGAAATTAATTTATAGGTTTAATGTGATCTTAATTTTAAAAAATCTCAGTAGATTGTTTTTATTAGAATACAACCAAATATTTCTAAACTTATTTTAGAAATATAGGTAGACAAAAGTATAAAATGCTATTTTGAAAAAGAAGAGTTATGAGGTTTTGTTAACCAGTTCTTTAATGATTTATTCTATCTGTAGGATGAAGAGACAACTCTTTTTTTTTTGAGACAGAGTCTCACTTTGTTGCCCAGGCTAGAGTGAGTGCCATGGCATCAGCCTAGCTCACAGCAACCTCAAACTCCTGGGCTCAAGCAATCCTCCTGCCTCAGCCTCCCAAGTAGCTGGGACTACAGGCATAAGCCATCATGCCCGGCTAATTATTTTATATATATATTAGTTGGCCAATTAATTTCTTTCTATTTATAGTAGAGACAGGGTCTTGCTCTTGCTCAGGCTGGTTTTGAACTCCTGACCTCGAGCAATCCGCCCGCCTCAGCCTCCCAGAGTGCTAGGATTACAGGTGTGAGCCACCACGCCCAGCCGAGAGACAACTCTTTAGTGAGGATTTCCCCCGGCTATCGCCTCTTCTGTTGATCTGTCCTTGTCATCCTGAACCTTGTTCCTCTTCTGTTGATCTGTCCTTGTCATCCTGAACCTTGTTCCGTACTGTATATGATTTCTGAATTTACAGACGCCAGTATCTCAGATCACTAACAGAGTACAACTAATAGCTCTACACTCAGAGGTCCCGTGTCTCTTTCTAGCCCAGCCCTGTATCAGACATGTGTACAAGGTGATAGTCCATTTTGCCTTGTCAGTCCTTACTGTTATAGTTGCTGCTTATGACTTTTTTTGCCTGGTAATCTGTTGTTGTAAATATACCGCCAAAGCTTTGCAATGAATGACATATAAGTATAAATCTTCCATCTGAAACATCATCCCATTTTTGCAGGAAGTAACTTGATGATTGTGTTGCCCTTCTTCCCCATAGATATGGAAGGGAAATATTGATAGTGGGGAATATGTAACAGAGGGAATGGCCTGAAAAAATGGCAAAAATATTTTCTGTGTCTTTAAAACATCCTCCACTCTGTTTTGAAAGCTAAAACCTGCATCCCTGCCTCAGGCCAGTGGTTGGGAGGGACAGAGTAAGTCTTTTGTTATTTCTGCTATAGGAGGTAGCTCAGCCTAGATCAGATGGAGGAAAGTCCTGGGTGGAGGTCACAGAATTGTTTTCAGTGGAGACGGGATGATCAGAATCATCAACTGTAGTTGAACAGCGATCTTCTGAAGCTGAGAACCCACCCTTGAAAAGCTCTATATTTCTGCTTATTAGGAGGATGATGGCATTTCAGACAGGAGTCTCCATCCTCCTTCTCAAAAAAAAAAAAAAAAAAAAAGTCATGAGGTACAACTAGCCTTATAAGATATTAGAACATGTTATAAAGCAGCAATAATTAAAATCATATGAACCAACACCAAAAAATATATATATAGATGGATAGATCTACGGAATAAAAAAATGAAACTTCCTAGAGGTTGAGGGGGGAGCAGCTCAGAAACAGAACCTATAATAAATAAGAACTTAACATATAATAAAAGAGGTATCACTGAACAAAGGGGAACAGAAGAAGGATTTAAATTTAGGAAAATGGTTAAAACTCTTAGAGAATTTTTCTAATTATGCCAACTGCATAGCCCACTACTGGCTTGATTCATTTGTTCTCCACACATTTACTGCACGAAGGCCTATTTGCACTAGATACTCTGCAGGCATTAGTCATGCAAGGCTTAAACAAGACACTGTCCCTGCTTTAAAGGTTCTATGAGGAGAATCCTGGAGGTGAAAAAGAAATGTTAACTTTGAAGGGAAGACAAGGATAACATAATATTAAGACTCTTTAATATTTTACTCTAACCAATTATTTACAAAGAAATTTTATCTAGCCTTTCTACGTACCAGGGAAAGGAGTAGATCAATACTCATCACAAGCAGGAGGAGGAAAAGGAATGCATAGTACTCATTAGAAATGTCTAAATGTATCACTTCTTGGACCTTTGGCCAAGATCAAGTGTAGAAATGTCTAAAGGTGTTTCCTAGCTGGCAATGCTTAGGAAATGCTTTTGAAACACACATTACTTAAAAGCAGAAATCACTACTGGATACTTCCTTTTCTGGTTAGAGTTTTTCACATCCCTGAAATTATTTTTTTAGCAAACAATTTTTTGTGTTCTTGATCACTGCTGTAGATGCTAAAAATACAAAGATAAATAAGATACTGCAGGACTTCAGAGACTTTTTAACAGGGCATTTTAACATTTTTATTGGGCACCTACTTGATGCCTCGTGCCAAGGATTCAGAGATGATGAGGACACAGTCCCTGGAATTTAGCCTACATTTACCCTACTGAAGCGTGCAAAGAAGATATATGTACAAAAATATTCATTCCACTGTTGTTTGCAGTATAGAAGAGCTAGAAACATCATGAAGGGTCCAACTTGTTAAATAAATTATAGTGTATTTAAACAATGACTATTTTACAGCCATTAAAAACTGTATTTCTATATGTAGTAACTGTAAAGATGATCACTTTATTCAGTAAAGTGAAAAAAAGCAGGTCTCAGAAGAGCATGCACAGTAGAAGCCAATATTTATTTTTAAAATTACATATGTGTATACATATAAACAACATATTTGTTTTTATGCAGAGAAAAAAAACCCTTAAAGAACTTATAAATTTTATTAATTTATTAATGGAGGCTTCCTCTAAGCAGTGGAATTGTGTGTGTCTATGTGGTTCAGCTCACAATCTAGTGCATCGGCTCAACATGCAAACAGTCCTAACTTCCCTTCATGTGATCCTCACTTTGTCCTTTTTTCTCTCCAAGAAAGGCACTGCTGACCCTGCTTTATGCTTGTGAAATGAACACGCAGAAATCCCTCAGAGTCCTTCAGCTTGTTGAGTCCAATGGACTGTTTTGTCCTGACATTCCTTGACCTCTCTGAGGCATCTGACACTGTTGCCTTCTTTCTTCTCAAATAGTCTTTTCCACTGCTTTTTGAGACACCACCTGTTACTGGTTCACCTCATCTCTATCCTTCGCTCAATCTTTAATTAGCTATGAACCGCAGCTGGGGTGTGGTCCTTCGCCTCTTCTCTTTCACCACCCACCTTCCCTGAGTAACTTACCCACTCCTGTGATTCAACTACCACCTGCAAGCAGATGACTCCCAACTATGTGCTCTAGCCAAAGGTCCCCACTGAGCACAAGACCCAAATATCCAGTCCCCGACCTACTGGACATCTCCACCTGCTTATTCTGCCAGCATCTCTAAGTCAACATTTCTTGTCACACAATGGCACCACCACCCACCCATCATTTTAGGCTCCACTGTCTCTCTCATTCTATGTTCATTCAGTTATTTGAAGTCATACAGATCTACTTTCTTACCACTCCCTCTGTCTTTTCCTCTTCCTCCCCACCTCCCTCTCCATTCTCACTGCCCTGATGCAGGTCCTCATCATCTCTCCACAGGTGCACTACAGTAGTTTACTAACTAATCTCGGTCCCTAGTCTGGTCCTCTCCAATTCATCCTCTATACTGAAGTCAAAATGACCTTTTTAAAACACAATTTGATCACATCACCCTTACCAAAATTCCTTCAATGTCTCTCCACTGCCCTCAAATTAATTTCTAAGATAGCATTAAAGCTCTGGATGACCTGGAACTTCTCTGGCCTTACCTCTCATGTTGCCCACTTTCCTCTCCCTCCTCACCCCCTGCCCCTGCTCTGCAACCTTTGCCCCCATCATTAACTTCTAGCCACAGAGAGCAGATTGCATGTCTCTGTTTTGGGTCATGCTGTCTGGCCTGCTCACATTTCTGTGCCTTAGCTCCTACTGTTCCTTCTCCCTGTAATATTTAAATGTCCATTTTCTCCTCTAAACTGCAAACATCTTGAGGGCAGAACCTATATCTTACTCCAAATTCCTATTCCCAGCCCCTACCATGGTGCTTAACACAGAAGAGATACTCAATAATTATTTGCTGAACTGAATCAAAAAGTTAAATAAAAAAACTATTTACATTTGGCTTTCAAATTGGTTTTGTACTAACATTTGAATATGGATAGAGTTGATTGGGAAAATCACACAACTGCAAACAAAATAACGGAACTACACTGTAATGAACTGAATCCAAAGGTGCTGGGGAAATGAACAGTTTCTAATTCCTATTCATTGCTGAGAATTCTTCATACTTACCACTACAGGCTTTATATGAATTATCTCACTTACTTTTTGTAACTAAACAATGAATTAAATACCATTATTTTATCTCTTTTTGCAGATGAGAAACTGAAGCTCAGAAAAGTAACTTGCCCAAGATCTCACAGCTAACAGTGTGGAAGCCAGGGATAGAATACAAGCAGCCTGACTCCAGTGCAGACACCGGAGTCACTTAACCCCTAATACTCTACCCCTTTCTGTTATTAGGGACTGGCACACAGGAAGTACTCGATAAGGCTCAGTTGGGATAATGTTGTTCACCGTGTTGGTAGTCCTAAATGGCCAAAGGACAGAAAACTTCAACTCTCAGGTCAGGGCAGTGGACCTGAGGGTGCTTTTGGCCTGCAGGGGGCAGTACATCCCACAGATGTTCCACAAGAGCCACACCCAGACTGGCCAGGAGGCTCTGCCAACAATAGGGAAACTGGGTCAGGAAGGCTAGGGCTGTAAGGGAACTGGGGGAATGCAAGACTTGTCAGCAAGAGGGAGGAAAGAAGGAGAGTGACAGTGAGAAAGGCAAGCCAGTCTGGGGCAAGAAAAGAGAAAAGAGGGGGTCTGGGGACCCTCCTTCCAGAAAAAAAACAGAATTGTATCATAAATTTTAGACCACAAAGGGAATTCCATGATAACATTAATAATGACAGCCAATGTGCTAAACACTTTACATATCTTAACTTATTTAATCCTCAGAGCAATCCTGTGAAGTAGGCGCTATAATTCACTATCTTACAGATACAGGACATGAGGTACTGAGAGGTTAAGTAACTTTCGAAACACAGCAAGGAGCAGGGCCAGGTTTCAAACATAGGCAGTCTGGCTGCAGAGCCTGTGCTCTAACCCTCTGCTATTGCCTCTGGTGATCAGACAGTCCACTGCCTCCTGATTCGGATGAAAAAAAATGAGGCTCCATGACCTCTCCCCAAGGTTACAAGTTGGTCAGTAGCTATAACAAGTAAGTTAATGATCTGCAAAAAGTCATTATTTGCTTCATGAAGTTTATGTTTTAAAGTAAGCAGTGCCACTGGCTGGTCTTATGACCCAGGCAAAGTCCCCCGGGTTTAAAGTTAGGAGGTTTCTGCATCCCAGCACATTGCTAAGACCAATTCCCTGCAGGAAGCCGTCTTTTGTTCATTTACCAAACATTACCAAATACTCAGTATGTACCAGGCCCTAGGCATCGGGATAGAAAGTTGAGCAAGACACAGCCCTGCACTCAAGGAGCTCCAGGTAAGTCTAACCACAGGGATGAAACCTAAACAAACAAATGCACAAAAGTGATATAGGTCCTAAGACAGCATTGAAGGGGGACCCCAAGGAGGGCTAAAATAACAGAGGAGTCTCCAGGGGAGAATAGCCTGGATTTTCCAGGTGGGCACAATCTAATCACACAAATCCTTAAAAGAAGAAGAGGCAGAAAGGTGTCAGAGAGATGAGATATGAGAAGAATTCGACCTACCACTGTTAGTTATAAAGATGGAGAAAGAGGACACAAGCTGAGGAATGCAGATGACTTCTAAAACTGGCTAAGGCAAGGACAGCGAATGCCCCCTAAAGTGTCCAGAAAGGAATGTAGCCCTGCCAATATCTCAATTTTAGCCTTTTATGCATCTTTAGGATTCAGGAGGTAGCATGACATGGTATGAGAACATCTTAGCTTTGTCACTTATTTGGTTGTCTAATCCAGGGCAAGTTACTTTAAACTCTCCGAGCCTCCATTTTCCTATTTGTAAAATGAAGAAAATAATCACGTTTACTTTACAGAATTGTTATATGGATCAAATGGGGTCACAGATGTGAAAGTACTGGAGTTTTGTTATTGTTGCTGATCAATCATAAATGAAAATAAGTCATTTCTGAACTCAGATCAGTGTAACTGACAAAAGCTTTCCCCAGAATACTCACATATATAGTATTGCAAAAGTGAAGCAGGCCTGCTCACCAGGGTGAGAGTACAACGCCTGACTCACTCCACTGCCTCACCAGCTGTTTGTCTGATACCCATCACCCACTGGTTTCCTTTATTTTTATTATTTTTTTAGACACAGGGTCTCACTATGTTGCCCAGGCTAGAGTGCAGTGGCTGTTCACGGGCGCATTCCCACCACCGATCAGCCTGGAAGTTTACTGGCACCAATTCTAACCTGGGCTGGTTCACCCCTCCCCTCCAACCGGATGGTTCCCTGCTCCTGGGAGGTCACCATATGGATGATGAACTTAGTTCAGACACCTGATCGGCATAGCACACTATGGCCCAGAATTCCTGGACTCAAGCAATCTCCCCAGCCTCAGCCTCCCAAGTAGCTGGGACTACAGGTGCATGCCAATGCACCCAGAGGCCCTATAACTGCCAGGTTCAAAGGATCTTTCCTAGTTTCCCTCAACTTCCCAGACCACTTGAGAACACTGAGGCCACTCATTTCCCATGCCTCTGGGAACACTCTCCTCTGTGGCTTGCACATCACCATGCTGCCTTGGCTCTCTTCCTCTCTAACCACACTCTTTCAGCCTCCCTCACTGGCTCTTCTACCTCCTCCCACTTCCCCACCATGGACTTTCTCCCAGGTTCAATCCTTCAGCACTTTCATCTTTCCTTTTACTCAGAGAATTCATCCACTTAGGTAATTTTAAGTAAAAGCTTCCAGGCAAATGACTTCCAAATATGTATTTCTAATCTAAATTTCTCATCTGAGCTTCAATCCCACATTTCTAACTTCCTGTTGGACATTTCCATCTAAATAAAGAGTTCATGTCAGAGCAAAATGCTAGGCATACTGACTCGAATGGAAATACTAGCAGAAAATGCCCATTTGAGGTATACAAGAAAAGGCACTAAATTCTGATTTAAAAGAGGTAAGTTTGAGCAGATGGCAGAACCCATAGAGATGGTCCAGTAAAATAAAGACCCATATGGCTGGGGTGCAGGGCACAATGGCAGGCTGCTAACCAGTAAGGAACACTGCCCCAAGAGACCTGGGTTCTCATTACATCTCTGCTGCTAACTCACTAGGTGGCCCTGGGTAAGTCACTTCATCTCTATGGATCTCAGTTTCCTTGTTTATAGGTTGAGGTAGCTACATGGATTTAAAAGAGTTATGACATTGACATTTATAAGACTCATAGAAATATATAAGAAAAATTAGAAGATCTCAACAGTAAATGGACAAAGAGCACAAGCAGCCAATTTATAAAAGAAGGGACAAAGTGCCAGTAAACACATGGAGAAACAATTCATTCTACGTAGCAAATGAAAACAAGCTGTTATTTTTGCCTCTTAAATTAACAAGAGTTTAAGAAAATAGTAAGAATGTAAATTGAAACAACCTTTCTAAAAATCTAAGATTCAAAAATGAATCACTTCAGGAGATGCATGTCCAAGAGGCATCTGAATTAGGGCCTCAGCTAAGCTGGAGAAGTGGACAAGCTCTCTGGCTGAGTGCTCTAAAGCAACAGCAAAAGACAGAGGGCTGAGCTTTATGGAGAAACACCCTCTGTTAGGGGGAGGGGACAGGGACTGAAGAAACGGAAAGGAAAGAAACAGGAACATAGAAGACCAGAAGAGCCACAGAGAAAATTCTGTTCAGCTTTGTCATTTTCACTCTTGAGAGAATTATATCCTGAGTTCCTGCTGTATGCCACACTAATGCTTGAAATACAACGGTGAATAAAATAGTGTGGGCCTGCTGGTATGGAGTTACTGCCTAGCAAATACAAAATAAAGAAGTAACGAATTAAATAAATAATTACAAACTAAGATAAGGGCTATGAAGGAAACAGTTTAAAAATAGATACAGAATTGACAATTAGTTCAGTGTCATTTTTATCAACAGAAAAGAAAGCAATCAATGGTCTCAAATTCCCAGTCTGGGAAGATGAGAACTGAGATAAGGCCATTGGATTTGACAGAATGAAATCACGCATGCCCTGTGAGAATAGTGGTTGCAGGAAACGCCAGCTTGGAACGATTTTCATGAAGCAGTGGGTGGGCCAGAAATTGGAGTTGCAAGTAGCCATCATTTTAAAAGGAATTTGGCTATAAAAGGAAGAAGAGAAATAAGGTGTCTAGAAAAGGAGGCAAAGACAATTAAAGGGGAAGATTTGTGTGTGTCTGAAGGCAGAAAGAAAGAGCCAGTGGAGAGGATGAGGGTAGCAATACAGTGAGAGGCACCAGGGCACCCTCACTCTCCTCCCCTCCACCGACAATCCTTGCTAAGTCCAGTCCACTCTCCTTGATAACGTCTTTGTAAGGAATGGTTTCTCCTGTCCACTTTCTCAGTCCTCTATGCCTTCATCATGTTCCACCGCAGTGACTATAGCCATACCGTGTCCTCATGGCTCACGTCCTCAGCTCCTTCAAGTTTCTGCTCCAGTGTCACTCTCCCAGTGAGACCTACTCCTGCCCACCCCCTCCACATTCCCCACTCCCCTTAACCTGCTAGACTTTTTCTCTAGTCCATAACACCCTCATCTTCTAAGATGACTATGCAATTTACTTATTATATTTCTTCTTTATTGTCCATCTTCTCCCTAGAATAGAAGCTTCACAAGGGTAGGGATTTTTGTCTGTTTTGACCACAGACATGCAGAGCCTTACCAGGCACATGGCAGGTGTTCAATAAATATTAGTTGCAATAACAGTTTTTTCCAAAGTTCATAGGTTGCTAATAGATACCATCCCCCAACCCCCAAAAGAGTTCCTTGGGAAACCCTGCATAAAACAAAATTAAATAGGTTTCTTTCTTGTGGGATTTCTCCTAGCCTATTATTTGAGAAAGTACACTGAAAACCTCTAAGGGAGAGAAAACAGTAATGCAGCATTTTCCAAGGTTATTTGAACCCAGAACATTTTCTTCAAGTAATACCTCACTGGACGAGAGTTCTAAGAAATACAAGTTTGAAGGCTGGGCACAGTGGCTCACGCCTGTAATCCTAGCACTCTGGGAAGCCGAGGCAGGTGGATTGTTTTGAGCTCAGGAGTTCGAGACCAGCCTGAGCAAGAGCAAGACCTTGTCTCTACCAATAATAGAAAGAAGTTAATTGGACAGCTAAAAACATAGAAAAAATTAGCTGGGCATGGTGGCACATGCCTGTAGTTGCAGCTACTCGGGAGGCTGAGGCAGAAGGATTGCTTGAGCCCAGGAGTTTGAGGTTGCTGTGAGCTAGGCTGACGCCATAGCACTCACTCTAGCCTAACAGAGGGAAACTACTTAAAAAAAAAAAAAAAAAAAAAAGAAAGAAATACACATTTGAGAACATTGGCATCTGGGATAAAGTACAGATCCCACTGGCCAGCATTTAAGTTCCTTTATCATCAGACCTCATCTCCATCCAATCTTGCTCATCCTAGCCATGCATCCTAGATTCTAGCATGCTGTTCTCAGGATTTACAAGCCTCCATTTCTTTATAATGTCTATTCCTGCAATGAAATGGATCTCACTTTGACCCAGCAAAATTCCATCTCCTCTATGAAAACCCTGCCCAATTTACCCAAGCAGAAGTAGTCACTGTCTCCCTTGTATTCCCACAAACCTTTGTACATCCCTTGATTTTAGCATTTCCACATGGCAATCATAATTATACATCTGTATGCCCATTTCTTCAGAGACAATGTGCGTGCTTTATAAACATGAATCATGCATTATTCTCTAGCATTCAGCATAACGCAATGTACACAAAAGGTGTTCAGTATGTGTTGAATGAATGAATGAATGATTCTAGGGTCTATAATTCACAGATCAAATGATGATCCAAAGTTCTTGCTAATCCTCATCTTGCTCATCAATTTTAACAATGTAGGGAACTCACCCTGTTATCTTACTCTTATATTAACTTCTTCACTTTATTGGCTCCCTGCCATTCAACATGTTAAGATCCTCTCTTATCTTAAAAACTAGAACTTTCTTCAATCCCATATTTTCTTTCTGATATTATCATCTCTCTCTTTTCTTTCAATACCAAATTTCTAGAAAGAATTGTCTATTTTCACAGAAGCTTCTGCCTCTGACCTTGCCTTTGAAACTCTCCTAACCAAGATCATTAATGACTTCATTTTGTAAAATCCAATGTGCAATTTTTGGACGTTGCTTATTTGGCCTTTGGACAATAATGGACACTGCTGACCAATTCCCTCCTAGAAACACTTTCCTTTGCATTCCATGACAGCATCCTCTTCTGTTTCTCTGGTCACATTTTCTGAGTCTCATTCTAAAAGTCCCTTAAATATTGGTGTGCTTCAGGATTTGGGACTTGGCTCTTTGCTTTGTTTATATATTCTCCCCAGGCAAGCTTATCTATTCCCAACACCTCAATTCCTAGCTACATGCTGATAATGACTCCCAAGTATACACATACAATTTTTCCTTACCCCTGTATATCCCCTGTACATCCAGCATCCGGTCAGACATTTCCTCTGGGATATTTCACAGTATGTCAAACATGATAAGTCTAAAACTGAACTTATTATTCCCTCCACCTCCAAACCTGCCATTCCCTGACTTAATGAGTGGTATTGTCATCTACCTGCGTGCCCATATCAGAAACCTAGGACTCAACCTTCACTGCTTCATCTTCATTCCCAATATCCAATCCATCTCTAGGTCCTCTGGATTTTATTACATGTAAGTTTCTTGATTCCAACTACATTTCTCTATGCCCATGACTACTATCCCATCCAGGCCACCCTCATTTCTTATCCAGATGTTTTAGTAGCTTCCTAACTGGGCTTCCTCCCTCTAGGTTTGCTACTGTCCCACATGGCAACCAGATAGATTTTTCTAAAATGAAAAATCTGAATATGTCACTTCTCTATTCAAAACACTTCAAAAATAATCCTATTATCTTTAAGATAAAGAGCAACTCTCAGGCTTTATGGTGGACTAGAGCTACCCTTTCTCTGTAGTACAACTAGATCCTAGATAAAAGCCACCCCATTCCCATCAACAAAAAAGTTAGTAGAGCCTAGAATAGTAGGCTCAGGGAAGGGGTGGAGTTATCCTAAGGGATCATATAAATAGCAATACTGCTAAAATACTTAGCTTTGGGCCAGTAATGAGGTGGGAGAGCTAATCCTGGAACTCTCATACTGAGGTGGGATCCTTGAGAAGTGTGCTAAAGTATTCCAGGTCAGAGGTGGCCCCTGACTATTGGCAGAAACAAAAGAAACTAATACCCTTTAGGGAGAAGCATCTCCAATTTAGCCCCACAGAATTCCTATAGACTGAAATATAGTAATGAGCTCACAATTAAAAACCAAGAAGCACATGGGAAGGCAAGCACCATAAGAGTCAGCAGAAACAATAAACAACAGATTTAAATCCTCAAGAACCATAAATATTAGAATAGTTAGATGAATACAGAAGAGCTATATATTAAATGTTTAAAAATGTTTAAAATATATTAAATGTTAAAATGCTATAAAAGGTACAATCACAAAAATGTAAAAATAACATTCATAAGAGACATCTTGGGGATACAGGAAATGTGTAAAAACAAAAAACAGAGTTTTTCAAATAAAAAACTCAATGAATGGGTTAAATAGCAGATTAAAGTCAGCTAAAGAGAGAATTAGTGACTTGTAAGATATATATCTAAATAAATTACCCAGAATGCTGAGACAGACAAGAAGATAAAGAATATAATAGATAAGCTAAAGGATATGGAAAACAGAAGGCTGATATACAATAGTTTTGTTTTTTTTGAGACAGGTTCTCACTCTGTTGCTCAGGCTAGAGTGCAATGGTGTGGCACACTCAACCCTGAACTTATAGTTTACCTCAGCCTAGAACACCCGGGCTCAGGCAATCCTACCTGAGTAGTTGTGGACAACATGTGTACCACCATACCTGGTCAATTATTTTATCTTTGTAGAGATGAGGTCTTACAGTGTTGCCCAGGCTGGTCTTGAACTTCTGTTCTCAAGCAATCCCCCCTGCCTTGGCCTCTCAAAGTGCAGGGATTACAGGCATGAGCCACCATGCCCAGCCTAACATACTTCTAATTATAGAATCTCAGAAGGAGGGAATAGAGAGAATGAAAGAGGGGCACTTTTGAAGAACAATGGCTGTAAATTTTCAACAAATGGACATGAATCTGCAGATCCAGGGAGTATAATATATTCAGGATAAATAAAAAGAAATACATGCTGTGGTAGCCAGTCTGTAAGAAAACTCCCAATGATTCTTACCTCCTGGTATTCACAACCTTATGTAGTTGCCTTCCTAATTATACCACAGTTGGTCTGTGAGACCAACAGAATATGACAGAACGGATGGTATGACACTCTAAGATTAGGTTATAAAAGACACTGTGGTTTCCTTCTTGGTTGCTCTCTCACTTTCCTGTTCTTTCCTGGGTCAGCTGTTCTGGAGAAAGCCAGCTGCCATGTCATAAGCAGCCCTAAGGAGAAGTCCACAGATGAGAAACTGAGGCCTCCTCCCGGCGATCCTGTGAGTGAGTCATGTTGGAAGCAGACCCTCAAGCCCAGTCAAGCCTTCAGACAACTGCAACCTCATAACAGACCATAAGCCAGAACCACACAGATAAGCTGCTTTGGGATTCCTGAATTAGAAAAACTGTGTGATATAATAAATATTGTTTGAAGTAGCTAACTTTCACAGTAATTTTTACACAGTGATAGATAACTAATACGCATGCCAAAATCAAACAGTTCTGAATGGCTTACAAAGAGCCTTCTCCATCTGGTCCAGACTGTCTCTTCAGCCGCACTTCTTGCCACACTCTCTCTAGCACATTACATTTCTTTTTTTTTTTTTTTTTTTTTTTTTTGAGACAGAGTCTCACTTTGTTGCCCAGGCTAGAGTGAGTGCCATGGCACCAGCCTAGCTCACAGCAACCTCAAACTCCTGGGCTCAAGCAATCCTCCTGCCTCAGCCTCCCGAGTAGCTGGGACTACAGGCATGCGCCACCATGCCTGGCTAATTTTTTCTATATATATTAGTTGGCCAATTCATTTATTTCTATTTATAGTAGAGACGGGGTCTCGCTCTTGCTCAGGCTGATTTAGAACTCCTGACCTCTAGCAATCCGCCCGCCTCAGCCTCCCAGAGTGCTAGGATTTCAGGTGTGAGCCACTGCATCTAGCTAGCATGTTACATTTCAAACACACCAAATCTCTTTTAGTTTCTGGAATGCACCATGTTCTCTCCCACCTCTGCCCTCTGTATGGCTCACGTGATGTACCCGTCTGCCATATTCTTCAACACCTTATCCTCTACTCCCAACATGAGTGCTCATCTGGCTAACTTTTCCCCATCATCAGGGCACTCATCATATTGTATGATAAAGGTTTGTGAAATTGACTCTTTCCATTAGGCTTCAGGCAGGATGATACCTGTCTCCCTTATTATTATGCCTGCAGTTACCAGCACAAAGAAGGTATTCAGTAAATATTTGTCCTTTATAAGCCACAGGATAGGGCCAGGCAGGAAGGCTAAAGGTTGAAGAATGTAAACACCCTTGGGCAATGATCCAAATGAAATCTTCAACATAGTAACTGACTTAACTATAAAAGGACTGAGAAACTGCTATATTCCACACAATCTCAAGTTTTTAGGGGAGGCCTGGGGTAGAGTCAGGACTTAAAAGTTGGATGATTTCCAGTTCCTCCTAAGTCAAACCCTGTTTTTGTGGTTTCATTATAATCCTTCAATTGAAATCTCTGAACATTAGACACACCCATTCTTGAAAGCACACTTACAACTGTACTCAAAGGCCAAATGGAGATGACTTTTTAAAAACTATCATCTGTTTTGCATTTGTAGGATAATTGCAACCTACTATGTTGATATTAAGATCTGTTCATATATGGTATTTGCGGAGTATGCCTAAATATGAACATATACATATGCATATATACATGTCATAAAATATTAATCACTAGTACCCTCTACTGGTAGAAATACTTTATCTGCTCATATGAATGATCTTATTGCCCTCTAGTGACCACGACCTATAAAGACAGAAAATCCAGCAGCAGATGGGAGAATCTCCTTGGCTACAATGATAGGGTTTTATGTTCTTTAAGCGTCTAATTTTCTGAGATTCTGGTTTATGTTACAGAGGTGCAACTCAAAGACTCTTGGGGACCCTCTGGGGATTTCATACAGCTCTTCCCAGCTGTTAGTGCCAGTCTGAAGCTGCTCTCTCTCCTGCTTCTCAGGAACAAGAGGTCAAGGGGAGGCAGACAAGGCAACGGCTGCACCAGTGAGGGCAAGAACAGCAGCTGTGAACGGCTGCCCTGGACTCCCTGGGGAGCTGGGAGCAGCTTGAGGAACACATGTTGGCCCTCCCTTGCATATTATTCACAGTTGCCTACTGTACTAAAATGGCAATTCAACATAGGCCCACCCTGCCTTACCTTTTAAATATATCCTAAGCTACAATAAACAATGCTGCAGTAAATGTTGCTATCATTTTGTTTTATAAACCAGGCTTTGCAGGATATTTCTACTGAAGACAGAAAGGCCAAGTTTCTTTCAAGATGTAACTGAACGTCACTTCCTCCATGAAGCCTTTCCTTGAGTCCATAGATGTCAATGATTTCTCTGTCCTTTGTGCCAGCATATACCTTGTATAGATCAGAATGGTACCCAGAGCGTTATTTATGCTTTTATTTGCACACTCAAAATGTTATCTGTAGATCACTGCCAGTTGCCAGTCCATGAGCCAAGTGCAGAAATTGAATGTAAGCATTTAGAAACTTTTATAGCAATATGACAAGAGTAATTCTACATCTGTTGAATCTAAAAATTATGGTTTGTATTTTGTATATTTTAATATCATTTTATTACATATTACAAAAGTATTGGCCTGAAACCAAGGGAGAATATTTTTTAAATGGTCCTTTATCAGAGATAGTTTGAAAAGCACTGATATAGCAGATAACTTCATATTTGAGGGAGGAATGAAAGAAGACAACAAACTATAAGCACTTGTCATAAAATTAAGAAGGAAACATACCTATCCTTGTTGATTTTAACACTTCCCTGGAGGGTATTTTCTTCTTTAATTCTCGTAAGGCTTCAACTAGATTCTCTTTGCTTTGATCAGGAAGCTCCAACATAGCTTTCCATCTTTTTAGGTCTTCTATAACCACAACTCTCTGGGAAAAAGAAAAGTCATTTGGAAAATGGAACATTTTCATTAGAAAGACATCTGCCTTCACCTGAGCTAATGGGGCTCCTATTGGCATATGAATTATTGATTATGACCTGAACCAAAGCACAGTGTGCCTGATGGCCCCAAATGATGGGTAATTGCTTAAAAGCAGGTCCTGCCTGCTGCAAATCAGGAAGAGAGGTACATCTATTAGGAAAAGTGCAAGTTTTAATCTTACCATGTCAGACACCACTGGGCACTTAGGAGGGAGAAGCAATAAGGATGAGAAGAAAAGAAAAATGATGCTGAGGTGTATCAACCCTATAGCTTACTTAAGAGTGTCTTAATTCACAGGCAAGAACAAAGAGCAAAGAAGTCATAAAGACATGTTTATTTCAACAATTAAAAACACACTTCAAAAGTTCCGCTCTTCCTAAAGCAGTGGTCCACAAACTTTTTGGCACCAGGGACCATTTTCGTGGAAGACAATTTTTCCACAGCCTGGGGAGAGAGGGGATTGGTTTCGGGACGATTCAAGCACATTACATTTACTGTGCACTTTATTTCTATTATTATTACATTGTACTACATAATGAAATAATTATATAACTCACCATAGTTTGGGGACGCCGTCCTAGAGGATAAAATGCACTCTGTCTCTTGTTCAAAGAACTTTTTAAAATGTCAAACACATAGAAAGGTACAGAGAATAACCCACTACTTACAATGAAAAAAAGTTAACATTTTGCCATCATATAAAATAATAAAACCTTATAAAGTTTAAGTCCCTTTATACCATTTACCAGACTCATTCGCCTCCTTCCCTTCCTAGAAGAAACTATGTATGTGTACGTGTACCATCTTATAGTTGGTCTGCATCTTTCTATTAAGTGTAAAATATTAACAATTAAGGAATCTGGGTAAAGGGGATAGGAAAGTTCTTTGTACTGTGGTGCAACTTTGAAATTACTTCAACTAAGAACTTCTTAAAAAGTAAACCGGAAACAAAAAATAAAGTTGCTTTTATAATCACACACAAAAAAATCTTGTCTTGGATTGTTATTACCCTGGGGAGGTAGGCACAGTGAGGCATTAGAAGGCGATATAGGACACTTCTGGGTTTCTGGTAACATTGTTCCTCGATCTGGATGCTGGTGTATTAGTCATTGTGGTGAAAATTCCTCACAATGTACACTAACAATTTGTGTACATTTCTGTATGTATTTTTTATATGATAGTTTGGTAAAAAGCAACCAAAAGAAGTCTTGTCTTGTCTCCCTTCCTTGGCTGGGGTCTGCTTCAGGCCTAGAAACCCATGGTGGGAGAAGGGTAAGTCTGACTCCCCTACTTCCCCATCTTTGCTTCTCCTCCTCTCCAATCTGCATGTTTGCTTTGGTTTCTGACCCTTCCAGGTTCAAAGCTAGGAAAAGGAGGAAAGGAAAAGGAAAGGAAGAGCCCTACTTTCTGTTGTGATACTATACTAATCAGGTTTTAGTGCTCTCTGGACTTGGTAGATATTTAAAGCTGACTCTTTTTCTCTTACAGGGTATTTTTATAGTTCCTTGGAGAGCTCCAACTGCTGAGTTCTTGCCTACAGTTCCCATAATGTGGGCAATGCCTCTGACAGCCAGTTGCTTGCAAGTTCTGCTTTGGTCCCCAGTTTTTGGCAACCGACCTCCCACAGAGTCTATAGGGATCCCATTGTCTTTCCAAGGATGCTGAGGAACCCACCCACTTTCATTCAACTCTAAGCCAGACAGTATTCTTTCCCACAATTGCCCACATCTTTGTCCTAAAAAATCCTGAGGGTAACAGCCTTCCCAGTGCAGTCACTTCTCCCTCAGGCATCAGTCAGCCTCTCTTCTTTTCTAAAGAAAAGTCTTTAGACTTTTCCAAGCACAGGTCTGATCTCTGTCCATCAACTGGACATATTTTCTCTTTACTTCTTTTTTTCTCCTTATCATCTATTTAACAGTCTGAGTTTTCTTTAATCTTCATTTCTTTATGGTTTGAAAGTTATACATTATATTTCTATCATTTTAGTATACACCTTCACAGTTTTTAAGATATATGTTCAATGAAACCAGTACTCATCTTATAAGCCTCTATCTTCATCTACTTTGTCTATCCTTTATGTCTTTTTCTGTTCATATTTCTCTTCTCTTTATTTCTCTGTGATACATTCTAAATGAATTCCTCAGATCTAGCTTCCAATTCACTATTTCTCTCTTTAGCTATGGCTTGTCTATTTTCAACTTGTTCAATGTGTTTCTGCTTCTACAAATATATTTTTTCATTGGACAAGTTCTGTTTTTGCTGTTTTCTGCAAACATACTTGTTCTCTTTCCATACTACCCTATGGTTTCTATTCCTTTCTTAATCTCTGTGGATATTTTAAATATATTTAAGTTCTCTTTCAGATTGTTTTCATCTATATTTCTTGGGGTAGAAAATCAAATACTTATATATATCTGCTCATTCTCCTTCTTGGTAATTTATTTTCTTACAGACTGCAATTTTTGAACACGAGTTCATCTTTAAAGGGGACTGTTTTCCATGAAAGTCCTGTGTGCTCTAGAATATAAAAAGTCTTAACAGGGAAATCTCACATTTGCCTTTGCCAAGGTCTTCAGATATTCCTGGTTCTATATCAGTTATTACATTAAAATTTTTTGGCTTTGCAGATAATGTGAATTTAAACTACAGTTGGCCCTCTCAATCTGTGGGTTCCACATTTGTGGAGTCAATGAACCACAGAACGAACCACAGAACGGAAATATTTTTTTCAAAACTATGGATGGTTGCATCTATAGTGAACATGTACAGATTTTGTTCTTGCCATTATTCCCTAAACAATACAACAATTTACATAGCATTTACATTGCAATAGTTATTACAGGTTGAGTATCCCTTATGCGAAATGCTTGTGACCAGAAACGTTTTGGATTTTGAAATATTTGCATTATACTTACCAGTTGAGCACCTCAAATCTTAAAATCCAAAATCAGAAATGCTCTAATGAGTATTTCCTTTGAGCATCATGTCAGCACTCAAAAGGTTTTGGATTTGGGGGCATTTTGGATTAGGGATGCTTAACCTGTGTAAATAATCCAGAGATGATTTAAAGTATAGAAGAGGATGTATATAGTTTATATGCAAATACTACACCATTTTATATAAGAAACTTGCCCACGAATTTTGCTATCTGCAGGGGATCCTAGAACCAGTCCCCCATGGATACTAAGGGATGACTGTGTATATATATATATATGTGTGTATATATATATCTATATATTCATGTATGGTAATAAGTGTATAGTTCTAATTTATTATAGTCAATTTTTTTTCCATCTAAGACCCTGAGATTACAATCTTCATGTTGTTTCCTTGGACCAGTGGATCAAAATTTTCCATTTTTCATAAACATGGTAGTCCTATCTTGACTCTCAACTTCATGGGGGTCGGGGGATCACTTCTAGCTCCCGACATAACATTAGCCTGAGGCCTTATCTCCTGACCCTATATTGGCCTTAAAACCCCAACCTCTAAGCATTATATCTGAATTCAATATTCCCTGAAACTATTTAGCTTAAGCTCCCACTTTCTCTGGGTTTGGATTTCCTCTCTCTTCCTGGCACCTGAGAATTTCCCTGTCTTGCTTTCAAGCTCAGCTCTCTACTAGAGACTTTTTGTCCATCGTTTCTACATTGTTGGAATTGAGTTAGGGTTTCCACATCAGATCACTTCAAGATATGGAACTATAGAAATCCAAATTCTTTACCATGGCATAAAGCCTTCCATGACTTGGCTGCTGACATCCTTTTTGGTCTCATAATTTGCTCGAGATATACCAAATTATTTGTAGCTTCCTGAATGAAACACACCCTTTTTAAATTTTATACACTTTGCCTAGGGTGCTTTCTTTGTTTTTTTTGCCTCATTCACCTGATAAACACCCATTTACTTTTTAAAATTCTCTTCAAGCATCGCCTCCTCGATGAAGCCTTTCTTCTGCTTCTTTTTTTTTTTTTTTGAGACAAAGTCTCATTCTGTTGCCCGGGCTGGAGTGCAGTTGTGTCATTATAGGTCAATGCAACCTCAAACTCCTGGGCTCAAGTGATCCTCCTGCCTCAGCCTCCCATGTCCCAAGTAGCTGGGACTACAGGTGTGCGCCACCATACTCAGTTAAGTTTTTAGATTTTTTTTGTAGAGACAAACACCTCCCAGCCTTATGAAGCCATTCTTGCCTCTCTTCTCACACATTTGACCATACTTTCCTTTGGGTCCCTTTGCAACCAGTATAGACTCCTACTGCTGCACCTGTGCTTTCTGCATATATTTATCAACAAGGCTGACTTCCCCATGAGACAATGAATAACACGAGGGCTGGAACAATTTCTCATTTATCTTGCTATCCTCAGTGCACAGTAGGTATAATTGAACAAAACTCTTTCTACCTTCAAGGACTAAGTACAGTACAGTTTTCAGATTTGAGATTTTAGAGCAAAAATACAAAAAATAGCAGTCCATTCAAGAGCAAAAGAATTCCCTATATATCAAAGAAATGTCTCCATATATCTGTCTAAATATGGGCCCCCAAACAGATATTTCAAATTACTTAGAGTAACAAAAGAAATGGACAAAATATCAATGGAGAAGCTACAATGAGTAGTGAAATAGTTACCACCAGAAAGAAGATGTGCTCTCCAATGTACCATCTGGTCTTACAGTAGTGGATGGCTGAAATATCTAGTTTGACAAAACCAATTAGGGAAAATGATTCACTCATAAGCAATAATGTGGGCACCATTCCACTGGTGGGGGCAGGAGACAACATATTGGCTAGCCAATCCTACAAAGGAAGGAAAGGTTTACAGAACATTCTGAAGTGATGAACCTAAAAGAAGTAGCATATTCTAGGATCTTTTAATAATAATAATAATAAAAATCTATTGCAATCAACAGAAGAAATCACTTTCCCTTAAGGGAGTGAGAACAGATTAACCAAATTAACCTTTACCATTTAAATGTACACTACATGAGCTCTATTGAGTATCACTGTTACTGAATGTGATAAGGCTAAGGCAAAATTACTTGTAATATACTGATAACAGAAGTACAATGGTCCTAATATCCCAAGATTTTTTACCTCCTCAACGTGGCATTCAGCAATCTCTACTTTTTTTTAAAGTTCACTCTATAAGGAGCAGACTATGGACCCAAATTGTCTAGTTCAAATCCCAGCTCTGCCACTAATAGCTAGATGATGTTAGGCAAGCTATTATACTTTACAGGTTCTTCATCTGTAAATGATAAAAGCATACATTTCATAAAGCTGATATTAAGATTTAAAGATTTAAGATTAAAGAGTTAATACATGTAAAGTACAATATGCAGTCCATAGAAATGGGCTCAATAAATGTTAGTAGTAATTATTACTATTACTATGTCCATCATCAAAATCATCATTCTCAGCTCTAGTTTTACTACACAAGCCTTTTCTATTCTGTACACAAGAAGAGGAAACTATTAGTTTTTACTACATGCCAGGCACAATGCTCAGCCCTCCCAACATGAATTTATTTAGCTCTCAAAACAACACTGCAGGTTAAGTATTAGGTGTTGTTATTCCTGATGTTACTGATGAGGAAACTGACGCTTGAACTTTCAGCAGATTCTTGGTATTATGTGATGCTGGTGTGTGAAAGTCAGTCACTCAGCAGAAAGTGGACTGAGCTAACTCTCTAAAATTCACGTTTAACTGAACTTGTTTCCAATTTGCAATTCTATACACATGAAAGTATACATCATACGTGCACAAAGGAAACAGAACAGTAAGTACCACTTACGAATGGTTATATGCCACTACTTCCCTCTACCTAGCCAAATCTTCCCTTCCCTTTAAGGCACCCTGCCACATAGCCTCTGACCACTAAAACAGACACTAAGCTCTCTCTTATCTTAACTCTAAACCCTGACTGTCTATATGACAATTTTGTAATGGATCCCATGTGATTTTGTATCATTTTTTATTAATTTCTTATAATTTGATCCCCTTACAGGAAGTCTCATGAGAGCTCATATTTTGATCTTAAATTTCTCTTATGTTCCCTGTAGCTGCGGTCGCCAACTCCCAGGCCTAAGGGCCAGAGGCAAGGCTGAGGCAGTGATGCCCTACCACTGTCCATGGAAAACCTGTTTTCTATGAAACCAGTCCTGGTGTCAAATAGGTTGGGAACCACTGCTCTGTAGTACTTAGCATAGTGCTGGGAATAAAGTTGTTTAACAATATTTGAATAATAGTTTACTATTAAAACCCTATAAGGACATGCCAGAATAAGGATGATTATTACTTATTAAATAAATCTTATCTATAATGCAGTAGGCACTGTGTTAGATCTTGCAGCAAAATCAGAACATAAGATACTTAGCAGTAGTCCCAGGCCTCAGAAGTTCATTATGGATTAGAGAAAACTATGAGTAATCTGATAATTACAATATAGTAAGGTAATTGCTAGGACAGGTATTTGAACCAAATGATAAAAGAATACTAAAGAGGGATTAACTCCCCTAAAGGACCCAGAAAGCATTTCAACATTCATTTATTTAAGAAATATTTATTGAGCACTTAATATATGCCAGGCACTGTGTTAGGTCAAGGACACAGAGGTAAATAAAATATATTCAAGGTCCCTATACTCATAGAATTTATAATCTAGGAATTACAGGGAATGTGGCTTTTGAGTGTGTTGACAAATGAGTAAGAATTCACTCTATAAAAAGAAATAGAAGGGCTTTCCAGGAAAAGGGACCAGCATTCAGTCCAAAAAAGACCTGGAGACATAAAAGAGAATCATTTATACAAAGAGTGAGTGGCTCATGCCTGTAATCCTAGCACTCTGGGAGGCCAAGGCAGGAGGACTACTTGAGCTCAAGGAAGACCCCACATCTCTATCCCCAAAAATAAATAAATAAATAGTCAGGGTATGGTAGTGCTTGCACCTATAGTCCCAGCTAAACAAAGACCACCAAGGAAAGGGGTGTGGCTGGAATGAATACATGTAGATGAGAAGCCACAGGGATGAGATGATAAGGCACATTGGGGCAGAACAAGAAAGGTTTCATGTGTCATGCCAATGCCTTCAGTCTAGTTCATTTGGTCATTGAGAAAAATGGGAGCTCCAGTGGCACAATCGGTTAACGCATAGTACTTCTAAGAAAAATGTATTGTGGCTTACTATATGCCAAGTCCTGTGCCAAGTGCTAGGACACAAAATCAGTAAGACATAGTCTTTCAAGAAGCTTAGAGTAACAGGACACAGGCAAGTAAAGAAATAATTGTAATATAGCACAAGTAAGTGCAAGGATACATGCATGTTTGAGGTACAGGGATGGCTCAGAGAAGGGAATGCATCCGGGGAAAAGAAGGATGGTCAGGAGGGATGAATACAATTTCATAAAGTAAAGATAATAACACAACAGCAAACACTTGCATAGTACTTAGAATGTCCCAGATTCTATTCCAAGCACTTTACTTATATTGACTCACTGAAACTTCATAATATCTTATAAAATAGGTATTATTATTAATCCCCATTTTATAGATGAGGACAAGAGGTTAAATAACTTTCCCAAGGTCACAAGGTCACACTCAGCAGAGCTGGGATTTTAACACAGGCAGTTTGGCTCCAGAATCTATGTTCTTTATTACTACAGCCAAACTGCCTGTCACACAGGAGGGTGAGGCATTCCAGGTACACAGGACAGTAAAGGCAAAGGCACAGAGGTGTGATAGAGCACATCTTTGGGGATTATGAATGGCTGACACTGGATGGAGTGTAAATGATAGGAGCAGCAGGGGATGAGGCAGGCAGGTGTCAGCCTGTTCATGGAAGGCCTTGGGTGCCTTGTAAAGAACTATGGTCTTTATCAACAGGTAAAGAGAAATTATAAAAAGGTTAGGCAGGGAGATGACCTGACTAGATTTTCTCTTCTGTTTTAGACATATTTCTCTGACATAGAGTGGAGGGGACAAGTCCATAGATCATAGCACTGCTCTAGGTGAGAAATAACAAGATTTTGAATTTAAAGTGGAAGATGAGCAAGTGGGAATGAGCAAGAAGGATTTTTAGTAAGGAGAATTGAAAATTGTATGTAAGAGAAAAAAGAGTTAGGGATAGTTCCCTAGGTTTTTAGTCCCAGTAACTTGGTATTGGATATAAAAGCAAATATAGGAGAATAGGGAACAGGTTTGGAAGAACAGCTAATGCATTTAAGGAAATGTTATCCCATATACCTGTTGTTTATTCTGATTCCATAATCTTCACATCACTTATTTTCATCATCACACATAGTGATACTCACATGGGGCAAAAGTGGGGACACAGAGAAAAGAAGGGGCAGGTGGAGGTATATTAGAATCTGGGGCCAGGTGCAGTGGCTCACATCAGCATTTTGGAAGAACAGGGTGAGAGAGTTGCTTGAGGCCAGGAATTTGAGGCTGCAGTGAGCTATGACTGGGTCACTGCATTGCAACCTGGGCGACAGAGTGAGACCCTATCTCTTAAAAAACAAAAAACTGGGTGTTTGCAGGTGATGTACATGTATGTATCGTTCAATTATTCTGCCCATCTTCTTCCTCCACTGCTATATACGATTATTCCTGAATATTCTGATATTCTGACAAAGCAGAGATAATTGGAAAACTTGAACGTATTCTATGAAGTCACAGAGCTGCAAGATTAGAAAGCACTTTAAAGATCATCTAAAGTTCAGGAGGTCTCAACCAGGGGCCGCCTGGAAATATCTGCGGACATTTTTGGTTATCACAGTGGGAGGAGCTACTGGCATTTAGTGCCTGAGAGTCAGGGATGCTAAACATCCTAAAAGTCACAGGAGAGTGCCAAATAATGAATTATCCTGCCCCAAAGAACAACAGCGCCCCCTTGAAGAAACACTGATATAATTCAACCTCTACAGAGAATGCTTTGCTAAAGATCAGCCAGTTGCCCAGTAGGGCCTAGGACCCAGGGCTTCTGTTTAAATTTCCCTTCACTGCTTTCCAATATGGATCTGGAAAGCCTGTGAGATATCCAGAAAGGAGACTAACTTAGTGTGCAGTTCAGGTACTCAGAACGCTGCCTTGTTGTCATAGTCCATTGCACATTTTCTCTAGCCCTAGATTCCCCTCTCGCCTTCATAAATGTAGGCTGGAGGTACAGGTTTGGCAGCTGTCAGCATAGAAAGCCTTGAGATGGATAAAGTCACACTGGCCAAATACATAAAATGTGACTGAGATCTCAGGAGCACAAACAGGAATCTAGTGGAGGAAGAGGAACCAATAAAGGAAACTGAAAAGAAGTCAGAAATGTACAAGGTAAGGTAAAAGATGACAAAGGGGACTAATTACAAGTTTGTATTCTTTTGGTGAGATAATAATTACTTTACCATTTATTGGGTACCTATGTTCACTGATTCATTGTATCTATTCCTTGCATCTTCCTTGCTAACAGAAATCAGACTGGAGTTCAGGGTAGTAAGAGTCCATTCAAACAGTTCTTTACCAGTCTCAGCTGTAGCTGTGGGGCCATGTGACACAGTTCTGGGCAATACGATATGAGAGAACAGAATTATCACTCACCCCTTAGTGAGTTTGTACAGGGTATATAGAACCATATTTGGTACTTTAACATTCCTAACAGACAAAAGGACATTTTTCAAAAGAATAATAACAAAGGGGTTTGTCCTGCTAGCTAGCAAACATTCGGCAAAGCAAGGGTATTAAGTGTAGCAGAGGTGCAGGAATTGATAAACTGAAGTCTGTACAGGGTATGGGGGAAACAAGGAAGAAGTGGTCAGGTACACTCTGGGGGAGGGGGCATAGCAAGAGAAAATTCATAGGTCTTCCACAAGAGAATCATTCACACCACCTTGCTACCAGTTATTTGCACATTTTCTCTAGTCCCAGATCCCCTCTCACCTTCAGAGATTCAATTGTGGCCTGCTTGTAAATCTTTTCTCCAGTATCTTTCTTCTGAGGGCTATTCTGGATTCTAGGAGTTCGAATGACGAATTTATCCATTGTTAGGGAACTTCAACTACCTTCACGTGCTTGTAGTGTTCTGGTCAAGAAAGAGGGTAGATTGTAAAACTTCAAGACTGCTGTGATGTTTGTTCCCCAAAGTGACACACTTGGGTTCTCTGGAAGAATTCCTGAATTATGGGGACTTTTGGGTGTAATTTATAGGAAGTAAAAAAAGAAAGATCTTCCCAAGAACTGAAACAGCACACAGTGATCGGTCTACTTCCTGAGTTAGGAAGCTTCTAGCTTCCAGAAAGGGCACGCTGTAGAGGGGATTCGAATATTTGGGACAGGCATTGAACCTGGTGACTTCTAAATCCTCTTTCCATTTTAGGATGGGTTGTGGCAGGGTTAGGATTACACTGAGCTCGAGGAAGTCTTTTTAACAACTACCCTACCACAGCCACAATCCCAAGGTTGCCCTAGTAACCAGAAACCTACAACCACCTCCAGACTTCAGCCGCGGGGGAGGAGGGGGTGTCCTCACAGTACGCAGCCATCTCCAGGAACTGCTCGGTGGTCAGAGTTCCCTAACCACGAATGTCATCCACTGGATTCCCAAGCAAAGAGAAACACTATCCTCCTCTGTTTCCAGTAATCAGGAGCCCGGCAAGGGGCACCCAACAACGGGCTGACCTGAGACCCACCAAGAAAAGCAATCCCGGTAGCTGCTGGGCCCCTCCACACTGCAACCTCCGAGGCCCCCAAGCTTAACCGCCAGTGTAGGAACTAAAAAGACGCTTCCTCCTCAGGCTGTAGTTACTCGGAAGAAGTTCCGCCCACTAGCATAGAGCGTCTGACCCACAGCGAACCACACTCCCCAGCATGCACTACGAAGCGAGCGGGCGGAAGGAGTGCCTAAGCCAGCTGTAGTTTTCCGAGACCCACTTTCCGACCAGCACCGTGCGCCTCCCCGCAGCGGAGAACTACATGCCCCAGCCTGCCCCGCAAAGGGACGGCGCCTGGGGGCGCAGGTTCGCGCTAATACCCGCGATGGTTGGCTCGACCTACTCTCGCCAGTCTAGGAGAAGTTCGTAGTCACAGAGGTGGGGCAGGAGGCGGCAGTTTCAGGCGGGTCAGGGCGGAGCTGAAGCTACAGCGGAGGCGGAAGCGGCGGCCTGTGGGGCAGGGAAGGGGGCTGGCCCCAGAAGGAGGAGGAAACCCTGTAAAGAAAACAGCAACAAGCTGAGCCGCTGTGACAGAGGGAAACAAAATGGCGGCGCCGAAGGGGAGCCTCTGGGTCAGGGCCCAGCTGGGGCTCCCGCCGCTGCTGCTGCTGGCCATGGCCCTGGCTGGAGGTGCGGGGACCGTTTCGGCTGAAGCGTTTGACTCCGTCTTGGGTGATACGGCGTCTTGCCACCGGGCCTGTCAGTTGACCTACCCCTTGCACACCTACCCCAAGGTAGGCCCATCGGATCCGGGGTACGACCCTTCCCTGACAGTCCACCTCGCCGCTCCCCACACCTATGTCGGCTCTGGGAACCTGGCAGTTGATTCTGCTGTTCAGCCGCCGTCTCCCACCTTTGTAGTTCCTGTTTTCCTTCCTAATCCTGCCTGCACCCTGTTCCTTCTTTAATTACCGGAAGTTTGTACTGCGCTACCTGTGATAGGCTGGGGACACAAAGATGAAAAAGACGTGATCCCTTTCCTCTGGTAGCCTACTACGCAGCAGGGGAGTAGAGCGCTCTGTGGGGAGGAGGATACCGAGGTTAATGCAGGGTCCTCACCTTCGAGGGACGTAAAGGGGGATGGGAAGGAAGACATAGATAGGCGAGTCCACAGAAGGTTAATTCATAACCCATGTTTACTGAGCGCCTCTCTGTGCCGGGAGCGCAGTCTGTTCGGGGAGTCAGACAAGTAGACAATTCCACTATAGTACGAGAGTGTTAAGGAGTCAGCTCAAGGAATTTTAAGACGCTTAGGAAGGTCTTTCTGCCTGTGTTCGGTTACTGTGTGCAAGACGCTGCCAGTAGGGACTGAGATGTCTTAGAGAAGAAGCAGTTGGGTTTCTGTCTTCAAAAAACAACTATTCACTGCAGAAGACAGGGATAGTGAAGGTAGTGAAGAAATGAGACTGTGCTCAAGAGGGAGTTCACAGCTTAGGGAGAAGAGTGACTCTGCCCTCACTTCCTGCCCTCCCCACCTCAGCTGCTGTCTTTCTTTTAATTCAGTACCCCTTCTCAAGTTGTGTTTTCAGTTTAAAAACTCTGTTTACTTAACATTTTAAATTGCTTGGTGACTCCTCCCACACCTTCCCCATATATAATTTGAGTGTATGCCCTCCCCCACCTTGGTGTGTAAGAGGTTTTGTTGATGCTGCTGTTTTTCTTCTTGTTTTTCCTTCATCTACTGTATGCAATTTGTTTAACCGTTGTGGCTAGCCTTCTGCTCACTTAAACTACAAAGTGGCTATGAACACAGTTCCAGTGAAGTTTTTAGTATGTTCCATATTAGCAAGTGCTTTAAGGCCTTCGAAATGAAAATTCTAAATGCTACCACTTTCCATATTTTGTTTGCTGCTGGGTTTAACATTATGTCAGGATTATAAATTTTCAAAAAATGTGTGGGAGAGGGGTTTATTTTAAAATTTTCAAAGTCAGATTAATATATCAATCGAGAGAGAAATGAGAAATTCTGACTTCTAGACTTAAATCAGTGCAAAAACTTCTCATCATTAAGAGGATTGATTGTCTGAGAAAACTCACTAATATTGAATTAGCTTGGAATTATGCAGAGACTTATTTTGTATCATTCTAGTGTTTGTTTCCTTTTTTGAGATTCCTAGCAAATTTGTAGTATGAACCAGAATGCTGGGAGAATAATTAAATAATTTGAAAGGCTATACATTCCTGGAAACTTTAGCTATTTTTATAATATCCACTGTTTTTTAACAATTGATGTGATATCTATAAATAATCTTATTTATCTAAAGCGGTTCTCACCAGCAACTATAAATCATATGGCTCCCTAGATGCCCTGGACTTAAAATTTATTGACTGTCTACTATCTGTTAACCAGTGTGATGGAGGATTTATTCTACCAGTATCCCTAATTCTCAAAACAACCCTGCAAAGTAGGTTTTACAATTGATTGAGGAAACTGAAGCTCTGAAAGGTTAATTGACTTGCTATGGTCACGTGGCCAAGAAGTAGTGGAATAGGAATTTAGTCCTAAAACTGGCTACGCTCTGCTGCTTCTTATTAATAAAATTACATTAAACATATTTAATTATTTCACTGATTTCTATTGGCTCTCCAAATTATTGTGCTTCAAGAAAAAGCAGTGTGTTGTAAGAAATTAGATGAATTTACAAGCTCATATAGCTTCTCTTGGTCTGATATTTGTAACTGGCAGAAATCTCATTTTAATGACTCTTTTTCAGACCTAATTTGTTGCAAGAAAGTAGAATGCCTCTTTGTAAGTTATTTTAAAATTATTTTTGTATTCTTTATTTGTCTCAGGAGTATAATCAAATCATTGCATGATTTACCTAGTAAGTTCAAATACAAGAGACATACTTCACGTTAATAACAAAGCTAAGTAGAGCCAGCCTGGTCGTTTTTTAATGGAGTGTTGGCTCTGGAATCATACAAACCTGGGTTCCATTCCCAGGTCCAGTATTATTATGTGTGTGTTCTTGCTGATCACTTCACTTCTCATAACTTCATTTTATCACTTGTAAAAAATGCCTCACGGGCCGGGCGCTGTGGCTCACGCCTGTAATCCTAGCTCTTGGGAGGCCGAGGTGGGCGGATTGCTCAAGGTCAGGAGTTCAAAACCAGCCTGAGCAAGAGCGAGACCCCGTCTCTACTATAAATAGAAAGAAATTAATTGGCCAACTGATATATATATAAAAAATTAGCCGGGCATGGTGGCGCATGCCTGTAGTCCCAGCTACTCGGGAGGCTGAGGCAGAAGGATCACTCGAGCCCAGGAGTTTGAGGTTGCTGTGAGCTAGGCTGACGCCACGGCACTCTAGCCTGGACAACAAAGTGAGACTCTGTCTCAAAAAAAAAAAAAAATGCCTCACGCCTTGCAGAGCTAGTGTGAGGATTCAAGATAAATTTGTGGCCGGGCGCGATGGCTCACGCCTGTAATCCTAGCACTCTGTGAGGCCAAGGCGGGCGGATTGCTCGAGGTCAGGAGTTCGAAACCAGCCTGAGCAAGAGCAAGACCCCGTCTCTACTATAAATAGAAAGAAATTAATTGGCCAACTAATATATATATATATATAAATTAGCCGGGCATGGTGGCACATGCCTGTAGTCCCAGCTACTCGGGAGGCTGAGGCAGAAGGATTACTTGAGCCCAGGAGTTTGAGGTTGCTGTGAGCTAGGCTGACGCCACGGCACTCACTATAGCCTGGGCAACAAAAAAAAAAAAAAAAAAAAAGATAAATTTGTGATACTCTTAGCACAGTGCCTGACACACAGTGACAGATAGTTATTTCTTCCATTATATGTTATAAAACCAGTTTGGTGTGTACAGTATTAATAGTGCTGAATAATGAGAGAATAGTTAGCTTGACTTAACTCAGGATAAAAAGAATATATATAAAAGCTATGGATAGTATCATTGAGGGACCTTCTAATTATGAACTTAGCTGGTATTCAGTGTGGTGAGGAACAACATTTATTTCCTTGTGCCTTAAATCAGAGGAGATAAATTTTGTATAAGCTTCCAGTCACTTGGGATACATAGGGCATGAAGTATTGGAATAATATTACATAGAACATGAAATACTTAGAATAAGGATATGATTCTTAATAGCTACCAATTGTGTGCTTACTTTGTGCCAGGTATTGCATAATATGTTAAGTGTTAGCACAGTGGCACATTGTGGATTCTTATTAAATTCTTATTAATATTATATCTATTACATAGTATAACATATAATGCTATTGTATATGTAAACATATAATCCTCCTGATAGTCAAGAATTGACATCAGACCTGTGGTGGCTCATGCCCGTAATCCCAGCACTTTGGGAGGCTGAGGTGGGAGGACTGCTTGAGGCCAGGTCTTTGAGTCCAGACTGGGCAACATAGTGAGACCCTATCTCCATAGGAAAATTAAAAAATTAGCTGAGCATGGTATGTGCCTGTAATCCTAGCAACCCAGGAGGCTGAGGCAAGAGGCTCACGTGAGCCCAGGAGTTTGAGGTTGTAGTGAGCTATGATAATGTCACTGTCCTCTAACCTGGCCAACAGAGTGAGACCCTGTCTCAGAAAGGAAAAAAAAAAGAAAAGAAAGAAAAAGAATTAATACAGTATTGTCCTCATTTTACAAATAAGGAATCAGAGAGATTAAGTAACTTGCCTAAGGTTATACAGAATAAGAAGTGAGACTGAGCTTCAAACCAGGGATGACTGATTGCTGAACTGAGGCTCTTCACCATGCCTTATGATTGTCTCAAATTGGTACCGGATGACTTATTAAGTTTGTTTAACAAAAGAAAGCATACCAGAAAATGAAATGACATGTGGTATAGCTCATGCTATTGAGGTCATGCTTTCTGTATGCAATATAAGGTAATATGTGGTGATCCAAAGACATGAAAGAATTCTTTCACTGTTTTACAAAGCTTGCAAAATCTACTCAGGTATGACATTTATCTTAATTGTTAAAATTCTTTAAATTTCACCTTAACAATAAATGCAGCTAGAACTGAGGTCCAAAAATGTGCTATCTTCACAGTTGTGTAATAAAGTTTATTTAATATTAGACTGCAACCATCTCTTAATGGATTGTGTGCTGCTGCATAAATTTTACTAATCCTTCTGCTGGAAAGAAACACAAACCTTTGTATCCCATTGGTTGCTAACTGGTATA